AGAAGTCTGTGCGTCCCTCCATGGATATGCCTCCCCAGAACATCACTGACCCACCACCAAAACGGACATGCTGAACCATGTTACAGGCAGCAGAACATTCTCCACGGCTTCTCCAGACCCTTTCATGTCTGTCACATGTGCTCAGGGTGAACCTGCTCTCATCTGTGAAAAGCACAGGGCGCCAGTGGTGGACCTGCCAATTCTGGTGTTCAATGGCAAATGCCAATCGATCTCTATGGTGCCAGGCAGTGAGCACAGGGCCCCCTAGATGACGTCGGGCCCTCGGGCCACCCTCATGAAGTCTGTTTCTGATCGTTTGGTCAGAGACATTCACACCAGTGGCCTGCTGGAGGTCATTTTGTAGGGCTCTGGCAGTGCTCATCCTGTTCCTCCTTGCACAAAGGAGCAGATACCGGTCCTGCTGATGGGTTAAGGACCGGTACTTGTCTGTTAATTCACCGGATTTATTCACTTGTCAATACAATACAATTACAATAGTCACCTTACACGCATTAAATAAATAAATCCGGTGAATTAACAGACAAGTGTATCTAAGGACCTTCTACGGCCCTGTCCAGCTCTGTTAGAGTAACTACCTGTCTCCTGGAATCTCCTCCATGCTCTTGAAACTGTGCTGGGAGACACAGCAAACCTTCTGGCAATGGCATGTATTGATGTGCCATCCTGGAGGAGTTGGACTGCCTGTGCAACCTCTGTAGGGTCCAGGTATGGCCTCATGCTACCAGTAGTGACACTGACCCTAGCCAAATGCAAAGCTAGTGAAAACCAGTCAGAAAAAACGAGTAGGGGAAAAATATCAGTGGCCTCCACCTGTAACATCAGTCATGTTTTGCCCATTTAGTGCACCTGTTGCTAATTTCATTAACACCAAAGCAGCTGAAACTGATGAACAACCCCCTCTGCTACTTCACTGACCAGATCCATATCCCAGGAGTTTCACTGACTTGATGCAAGACTCTGATTAAAAATTGGTCCATTAATACATACATGCAGTGCCTTGAAAAAGTATTCATACCCCTTGAAATTTTCCACATTTTGTCATGTTACAACCAATAGCGTAAATTTGATTTTTCAGGGGATTTTATGTGATAGACCAACACAAAGTGGTACATAATTGTGAAGTGGAAGGAAAATGAAAATGGTTTTCAACATTTTTTACAAATAAATATCTGAAAAGTTTAGCATGCATTTGTATTCAGCCCTCTTTACTCTGACACCCCTAACTAAAAATCTAGTGAAACCAATTGCCTTCAGAAGTCACCTAATTAGTAAATAGAGTCCCCCTGTGTGTAATGTAATCTCAGTATAAATACAGCTGTTCTGTGAAGCCCTCAGAGGTTTGTTAGAGAACATTAGTGAACAAACAGCATCATGAAGGCCAAGGAACACACCAGACAGGTCAGGGATAAAATCGTGGAGAAGTTTAAAGCAGGGTTAGGTTATACAAAAATATCCCAATCTTTGAATATCTCACATAGCACTGTTAAATCCATCATCTGGAAATGAAAAGAGTATGGCACAACTGCAAACCTACCGAGACATGGCCATCCACCTCAACTGACAGGCCGGGCAAGGAGAGCATTCATCAGAGAAGCAGCCAAGAGGCCCATGGGAACTCTGGAGGAGCTGCAGAGATCCACAGCTCAGGGGGGAGAATCTGTCCACAGGACAACTATTAGTCGTGCACTCCACAAATCTGGCCTTTATGGAAGAGAGGCAAAAAGAAAGCCATTGTTGAAAGAAAGCCGTAAGATGTCCCGTTTGCAGTTTCTGAGAAGCCATGTGGGGGACACAGCAAACATGTGGAAGAAGGTTTTAACCTAAATACAAAACGCTATGTGTGACGGAAAACTAACACTGCACATCACCCTGAACACACCATCCCCACCGTGAAACATGGTGGTGGTAGCATCATGTTGTGGGGATGCTTTTCTTCAGCAGGGACAGGGAAGCTGTTCAGAGTTGATGTGAAGATAGATGGAGCCAAACACAGGGAAATCTTAGAAGAAAACCTGTTAGAGTCTGCAAAAGACTTGAGACCCAGGCGGAGGTTCACCTTCCATCGGGACAACGACCTGAAACATCTAGCCAGAGCTACAATGGAATGGTTTAGATCAAATATTCATGTGTTAGAATGGCCCAGTCACAGTCCAGACCTAAATCCGATGGAGAATCTGTGGCAAGACTTGAAAATTGCTGCTCACAGACGCTCTCCATCCAATCTGACAGAGCTTGAGCTATTTTGCAAAGAAGAATGGGCAGAAATGTAAAACATTTTAAAATGTATTAAAACATGGATGGTGTCATTGGAGCAGTGAACAGTGTCAACAGAGCAGTTGATGGGGTCAGTAGGGCAGAGGTTGCTGTCAGTAGCACAGCGGATGGTGTCAGTAGGGCAAAGATTGGTGTTAGTTTTTTTTTTTATATTATTTTTTGCAATTTTATTTTTTTAATTATTTAAAAAGATAATTTAATTACATTTTTTTACAGTTTAAGAGCCCTGTTGGGGGGGCTTTGGTGGAATATCAGGGGTCTAAATAGACCCCCGATGTATCAATTTTGAGACAGACAAAGGGACTGGAGACAGAGATTCCTCAGTCACTTTCTCTGCAGCCTCAGCTGCACTGGATAGTAATGAATGAACAATGAGTGAACGGTATTGATCACTCGCTGTGTTCATTCAGAAAACGAAGGGGCCAGTAAATGACTTATTTACCCCTTCCCTCTTTCTCCATCCTGAAACTCGACACACGCTGTGCGCACGCCTATGTGGCATTTGGACTTACGGTTTAGAACAGCATAAAAATTGCCCCGAAACTTGCGTTCAGAGAGGAGTTTACTGGCAAAATTGATGCTTATAGGTGCTCATACATGCATAAATGCTGCCAAATGCATGTAAATTCATTGCAGTAGCTCAAATAAATTAAGATTCAGGCCAGTAGAATGAGTATCTGCTCATAGGCTTCTAAATACCATACATCTGTAAATGTGCCAAAAACAAGCATTTTTTATAGTTGATTTCACTGCCATCTGCTAGCAAAAGGTTCAGTGTAAACATGAATGTTAATATGCCCATGTGCATGAAGCCTAAGGCGTTGGGGTTACACTGTCAGCTATTTCCAGCACAGCCCCAACACGTAGGCAAAATGCCTTGTTTCCAATGGTGTCAGTTCACACCACAGTGTTACATGCAGTACTTTTTCCAGTACACACCTCAGCAAAGCAAGCAGCAATTTTTTCAGAGCAGCAGATTGCGACATGAACCCTACAAACGGCAACCACCCCAACCAATAACTATCCTTTGCAGCAAGGGGCACATGGAAGGGCAACACATGTCAAAAAATAAAAACTTGCAGCTCACTTACCAGCCTGCAACAAACCAAACTGACCCGTCTAACAGTTCATGTTAAAAACAAGGGGTTTCCTTTGCACACATTTGCAGCATAGGCTGCGGCAGCACGGACCATCACATAACGCTGAGGTGGGGAAAATAATTATATTGAAATGTTACTTGTGACATTCCACTCATTAATGTTATGTGAAAAAAAAACATTAAACTGGTTGAACCAGAACCATCCAGAGCACATCCCAGCACATCCCAGTACATCCCAGCACCATCCAGAGCACATCCCAGCACCATCCCAGCACCATCCCAGTACATACCAGCACCATCCCAGCACATCCCAGTACATCCCAGCACCATCCAGAGCACATCCCAGCACATACCAGCACCATCCCAGCACATACCAGCCCCATCCCAGCACCATCCCAGCACATCCCAGCACCATCCCAGCACATCCCAGCACATCCCAGCACCATCCCAGCACATCCCAGCACCATCCCAGCACATCCCAGCCCATCCCAGCCCCATCCCAGCCCCATCCCAGCACCATCCCAGCACATCCCAGCACCATCCCAGCACATCCCAGCACCATCCCAGCACATCCCAGCACCATCCCAGCACATACCAGCACCATCCCAGCACATACCAGCCCCATCCCAGCACATACCAGCCCCATCCCAGTACCATCCCAGCACCATCCCAGCACATACCAGCACCATCCCAGCACCATCCCAGCACCATCCAGCCCAGCACATCCCAGCACCATCCCAGCACATACCAGCACCATCCCAGCACATCCCAGCACATACCAGCACCATCCCAGCACATCCCAGCACCATCCAGAGCACATCCCAGCACATACCCAGCCCCATCCCAGCACCATCCCAGCACATCCCAGCACCATCCCAGCACATCCCAGCACCATCCCAGCACATACCAGCACCATCCCAGCACATACCAGCACCATCCAGAGCACATACCAGCCCCATCCCAGCACATACCAGCACCATCCCAGCACATACCAGCACCATCCAGAGCACATCCCAGCACCATCCCAGCACCTACCAGCCCCATCCCAGCACATCCCAGCACCATCCCAGCACATCCCAGCACCATCCCAGCACATCCCAGCACCATCCCAGCACATACCAGCACCATCCCAGCACATACCAGCACCATCCAAAGCACATCCCAGCACATACCAGCCCCATCCCAGCACATACCAGCACCATCCAGAGCACATACCAGCACATCCCAGCCCCATCCCAGCACATCCCAGCCCCATCCCAGCACATCCCAGCCCCATCCCAGCACCATCCCAGCCCCATCCCAGCACATACCAGCCCCATCCCAGCACATACCAGCCCCATCCCAGCACATACCAGCACCATCCAGAGAACATCCCAGCACATACCAGCCCCATCCCAGCACATACCAGCCCCATCCCAGCACATACCAGCCCCATCCCAGCACATACCAGCCCCATCCCAGCACATACCAGCCCCATCCCAGCACATACCAGCCCCATCCCAGCACATACCAGCACCATCCCAGCACATACCAGTGGCTGTGCATTTGTGCTCACTGGTGTGCTAATGTTTTATTTCTATTAAAATTTACCATTTCTGTTTTCCAGGATGAACTCAGGACAGAGGCCAGAAGGAAAAACCTCCTGATCCTGATTATGCATTACCTTACGCAGGAAGGGTGAGTACACAATACATAGTACTATGTTTTTTTATGTTTGTCCACCGTTTGTTTTGTGTGTTGTACAGGTCTGGACATTTCTAGAAGTGGTACTTTAACACAGGGGTGGTTGGTTGATTGTAAAGCTTTATTTTTTTTTATTAAAAATAATAAACATGTTATACTTATCTGCTCTGTGTAATGGTTTTGCACAGAGCGGCCCCAATCCTCCTCTTCTGTGGTCTCCTGCCAGCAGTCCTGGCTCCTCCTTTTTAGGAAGTGCCCCCATAAAAAGACATTTTCTAAGGGGGCACTCGTGTGGGCTTGATCCCAAGCTGTGCTGTCTGTGTCTACAAAAAAAATCTCGAAAACCCTGGTTCACACTGGATCCGACTTTGAAATTGCACTACTTCACTTGAAGTCGCACGACTACAAAGCCGCATGTCAGTGCAACTTGGCAGACATCTGTGCGACTTCATGCACAGATGTCTATGCAAGTCGCACCGGAAATCATAAGGAATAGTGCAAGAACTATTTTCAAAATCAGAACGACTTTGGTGGAGTCGAACCATTAAAAAAATAAACATGTTATAGTTATCTGCTCTGTATAATGGTTTTGCACAGAGCAGCCCCGATCCTCCTCATTCTGTGGTCCCCCGCCAGCGGTCCTGGCTCCTCCTCTTTAGGAAGTGCCCCCATAGAAAGACATTTTCTATGGGGGCACTCGTGTGGGCTTGATCCAAGCTGTGCTGTCTGTGTCTACAAAACAAAATCTCGAAAGCCCTGGTTCACATTGGATCCGACTTTGAAATTCCACTACATCACTTGAAGTCGCACGACTACAAAGCTGCATGTCAGTGCAACTTGGCAGACATCTGTGCGACTTCATGCACAGGTGTCTATGCAAGTCACACCGGAAATCATAAGGAATAGTGCAAGAACTATTTTCAAAATCAGTGCGACTTTGGTGGAGTCAGACCAATTTGACCGGTTCCAGATAATTGGGTGCAACTTGTCATGCGATTTGAAACTATTAAATCGCAGGACACGTCGCACCAGTGTGAACCAGAGCCTAGGATTTAGAACCACTGTATTCTTACTGCAATCCCTAACACTGAACTGCTTTTATTTTTAAACTTTTGGTCTGTTAAAGTGATTGTAAAGGCTTCAGGTTTTTTACTTGTCAAGAAAACAATTTATGTGCAGCTCCCCCCCCCCAGCCCCCCTAAACACTTAACTGAGCCCAATCTCGATCCAGCACTGTGCCAAGAGAAGCCGACACTGCTCTCTCTCTCTCCCTGCTCACAGGGCTCAATAAGAACAGCAGGAGCCACTGGCTGCTACTGCTGTCAATCCAGTGATGGCGTAGGGGGCAAGGCCATACCGCACTGTGTATGTCAATAAACACACACAGTGTGGCTCGAGATTGAGTCCTTACTTGTGCCACCATAGGAAGTGGCTTCCTATGGTGGCACTGTGAAAAGAGAAGGAGCCTAGAGTGCAAGAGGGGGACCCCAGAAGAGGAGGATTGGGGCCACTCTGTGCAAAACGATTGCAGAGAGCAGGTAAAATATAACATATTGAAAAAAGAACCTTTGCAATCATTTAAAACATACTACATTAAAGTAATCACTATTATTGGGAATTTTCAGGTATAAGGGGGTACCCTAAAAAAGTTGTGGTCAAGTGGACTTTGGAGGTACCCAAGGATTACAACTAAAAACCTAAAAATATACTACTTTTATTCACATATTTTAGATAAAATACAACTTAAAAGTGCTCCAGTATATCAAACAACCTTATTAATTAGTGGAAGCCCATAATTAGTACTTAAAGAGGAGCTCCAGTCTCCCCCCCAAAAAAATCAAAAGTCGGCGGCTACAAATACTGTAGCTGCTGACTTTTAATATTGAATTATTGTTGGTTGGTTGGGGATCAAATACTTATTTTACTCACTGAACTGCAACTCAATTTACAACATTTGTATCGTGTTTTCTCTGAATCTTTGGTTGATATTCTTTCTCTATCATTTAAAATACACCTATGATACAAATTCTAGACCAGAAATGGGCAAACTACGGCCCGCGGAGCGTGGCAAACATCGGCTGTCAGGATGTGTGTAGGCGGGGCAGCGTGAGGAACGTGAGGGGAGCTAGGCTCCTCTCACAGTCCGCCCTGAAGACCGGAACGGCGCGGGAACACGGCGAGAGGAACGCGCAGAGCAAAGGTAAGTGAATTGACACAGGGGGGACTTGGCTTACTACTTGGGGGGGAATAGTACTGTGGGGGATGAAATACTATATGAGGGATGAATTAATATGGGGGATGAATTAATATTGGGGATGAATTACTATAGGGGGGATGAATTAATATGGGGAATGAATTACTATAGGGGGGATGAATTACTATGGGGGATGAATTACTATGGGGGATGAATTACTATATGGGGGATGAATTACTATATGGGGGATGAATTACTATATGGGGGATGAATTACTATGGGGGATGAATTACTATGGGGGATGAATTACTATATGGGGGATGAATTACTATATGGGGGATGAATTACTATGGGGGATGAATTACTATATGGGGGATGAATTACTATATGGGGGATTAATTACTATATGGGGGATGAATTACTATGGGGGATGAATTACTATATGGGGGGGATGAATTACTATATGGGGGATGAATTACTATGGGGGATGAATTACTATATGGGGGATGAATTACTATGGGGGATGAATTACTATATGGGGGATGAATTACTATATGGGGGATGAATTACTATGGGGGATGAATTACTATATGGGGGATGAATTACTATATGGGGGATGAATTACTATGGGGGATGAATTACTATATGGGGGATTAATTACTATGCTTACTATGGGGGAATATTACTATACTTACTATGGATGACACATACACATCATTCATCTACTCTTGGTCCGGCCCCCGGGTCCAATATATGAACCCATTGCAGCCCTCAAGTCAAAAAGTTTGCTCACCCCTGTTCTAGACCCTTCATTTCTTTGTAAGTGGGCAAAGTTACAAAATCTGCAGGAAATCAAATAACTATTTTCTCCCACTGTATATATTTTAGTCCTGGTTCACGCTGATGCAGTGTGGAATTTGCAGCATTTCAGTGCAAATTCCGCACCGCATCAGAATCGCACCCCGTTCATGCGAATCTTTGCGGGTGTGTATGTTAAGTTAACAACACCCCGAAAGCGGTGTGCTAAACGCAGTGCGATGTGCAGAATCGGATCGCATAGGTGTGAATACCTATGCGATCCGATTCTACTGCGGACCCAAAAAAGGGTATGGCTCTGATCACACCGCACACAAATCGCATGTGGTTCGCACAGGAATGCGGTGCGGTTCCTGTGTGAATCACATGCGATGTACCGCACCGCACATGTGTGAACCCGGGCTCAAGGTAATTCCATATTCTACTTTTATTCTATCATAGTTTACTCACTGGAAGCATGGCTAAAATCCCACAGATGAGTAGGAAGTCAGCAATGCTGGCTTTCCACCTGGGGGTGAGCACAAGGGCACATCAAGGAGAGACACTGGCTGAAGGAGGACAACAAATTGTGTGTGTGAGTGATGAAAAAACAGCATTCCATTCACAGGGCCTATCCTATAGCAGCCTGCAGTTAGATGCTGTTAATTGCACATATCACAACTCACCTGCTGGTTAATCACAGCAGTATACAACCCGATTATCCCCGCCCTTTTCGCCTACCTCCTCCACTCATAGAAGACATACTATCTTTCATATGAATGAAAAATCTATGAATGGAGAATAGGAGGACAAATGAACGATTTGCCTCTTCCATTCATAAATTGTGTTTTATTCATAAAAGCAATAGTACAGCTTCTATGAATGGAAGAGGGAGGGTGGATGGGCAGAGCTGCCACTCTTGATGAGAGCCTGTCACGACTCCCTCAGCTCTATTCTGGTTTCAATATTTTTATTAAGAAAGGTTTGTTTTAAGAATACAACAAGATCAAGATACGCCCACGCAGGGGCAGAGCAGAACAATAATACATAATTAGATACATCCAGCTAACTTGTATTAGCCAAATAATGGAATGTCTAATGACAAGGAGGAACGGCAAAAAGCAGAACCAAATCATGGCAGTAACAATCCATCATATTACCGGAAAAAAAGAGAGAAAAGAAGAAGAGGAAAAAAAAAAAAGGAATCAAAGAAAAACATGGAGGAAAGGAAAACTAGAAGAATCACGAATCCAGGGCTAGCACAGGCAGTGACTATAAGAGGCCATAACTAGTAGGAGGCAGGGATGGCAAGGAATAACGTATCCAAGGTTCCCAAACTTTAAGGAATCTCGGATGAGAATCATGAAGAACGCTAGACATCTGTTCATTGATCAACATATCATTCATCCCGGTCTTCACCCCTGGAAGACATCCGAAGGGGTTCTCCAAGCTTGAACTATGGCACGTTTGGCAGAAATAAATAGGTAGGATGTCAATTTCTGATGAGATCTAGACAGACCCAAAATTGTCCCTCAGCTGTATTAACCCCTGCCGCACTGGGAAAATGATGATGGCAGGGGATGTTGAGGGGGGGAATCAGAGACGGAGAATTTCTACTAAAGAGGGGGGCAGCAGTACAAGGGATTCTACTAACAATCAATCTGATGTGCTCTTTGTGCTGTTGTCTCCTCGTTTAGTAGAAACCTTCCTCTTCCAATCATAACTGCAGAGCTCATAGAGGAGAGCCCTGAAAGCTGATTGGAAGGAAGGACTCACCCCCCCCCCCCCCCGCCCCTCCACACAGCTCACAGGAACAGAGCTGAGGCTGTCACACTGCTGGAGGTCTCTCCCCTGTCACCATTTTTCTCTTGGTGTCAGGAAAACTTTTTAGAAGTGACTTGAACTGATAGCAGAGGAACAAAGGAGCAGACAGAAATGACACAGTGCTCTTAATTAAGACAATTACACACCATAGAGGGATATGCTTTGTTCATATTTCAAATGTGAGGTTTACAATTGAATAAGAACATTTAGAATGAGATGAGCCAAAAGAATATTTACACAGAGATGAATGCACACACATTCCCTTTAACTTGCAGTCTGGCTCTTATCATTTTTATTCCAGTTATGTGGACACAGCAAACACTCTGGAACAAGAAGCCAAAGTCAGTATGAGACGCTTTGACGTTTGTGACAACGTTGATCTGGAGACCATTTTAATGGAATACGAGAGCTATTATTTTATTAAGTTCCAGAAGTACCCAAAGATTACGAAGAAGATCTCAGATAATGGTATGTTGCAGAGATGCATTTTAAAGAATGCTTTGTATTTAGATTTTTATACCTTTGTGTGTTATCCTCAGGCACATCCTATTCCAGGAATGACAAGCATTGCTCATTAAGTTTTCTTGCATGGCGACCACTTCCTGTTATCTCACATATATATTATTATTATTATTACAGCCAAATTTACCACCCTAACTCCTCCCACAGTTTTTACACTACATAGACAGTAATATACCGAAATGTGCGGATTGTTCCCGATTGGTGTGCTATTTGTGGAACGTTTCGCCGAATGGTTCACGAAATATCAGCGTTTTTGTGGTGAAATTGTTCCCATAGGGATGAATGGCGGAATGTTCAAAACTAGAGTGGGAGCTGACAAGAGCTAGAGTGGGAGCTGAAAAGTCAGGACTTGATTTCTAAACTGCCATCACTCCCTCATTTTCAAGCCCACCTACACAAATCTTGTATCAAAACGTTCAGCTATCCCTGCTGCAACTAAAAATGTTCATGGCTAAGCCATAGTCCTGATAGTTTTCACAATATGACCATTTGTTTGCAACTCATTGACATTCATTGAAACTCCACTCTAGCCACCTCAAATTTGAAGGGCAATTTCTAAACTGCGACTGTTTCCCTTTTTTAATATTTCAGAGACATACTATGCATCCAAATGTAGGTCTGGGTCTTGTGATTCTCACAATATAAAGCTCTTCAGTGTAGGATTTATAATTAAACTACAACCATTTGAAGATGGCAACCGCCAGTGAAGTGAGCAAGTTGGAGCAGTTTGTTTTTAACTGCTCTTCTCTGCCCTTGCTGTAGAGTGAGTTACCATAGGAACCCAGGTGTGTGCGCAAGCAGCAGAGTGACAAAAGCTAGAGTGTGAGCTGAAAAATAAAAGTTGAAATGCATTTCTCACTCTATCAAGCTTGCCATGTGCACTTTTTAAATTTGATCAATCACTTGGTTAGTGTAATGTTTACTATCTTTACTCACTTCAAACACTCCGCCCAGTTACTCCGCCCACTCCAGTTGTAGACTACTGGTGGAGGCAATAACACTTCACACAATTTCCCCAGAAATTGTAGCTTTTCTAGTTATTATAAAGCCGTTGTCCTCTGTCCTGCAACACCTGTACCTTAACAAGTCTCATTTTCTAAAACAGTACAGTGCACATAGTGAACAAGTTAATACTTCTAAAATTCAGTATTTACCTGCATAATATTGAGATTTAGCTATGTGCAATTTTCATTTTAGTTCGAAAATGGTGTACTGAATCAGCCCCTTCTGATATATCTTAGATACTCCAACAACAAGATCTCCCTGCCATGTTTCCTGGCTCTGTTCCTATAAAACTAGGAGGTCCTGTCTACTTTTACATCTTCTAACTCCTTCTGCTCTATTTTCTATAGTAAAAAATACTTAAAACGTCCAAAAATAAACCTTTACGGTTAAGCTTGCACTTTTCTGGTGCAGAATCAGAGCTCTCCAAGCAGCAGGGAGAGTGTGATGTTCTAGTTGGAGAGCTTTAGCTGTCACTTAGCAGGGGCAGAAAGACCACTGCTCCTACACAGGCAGCAGAGGGCCTTCTCTGCAGCCGCCTGTGCCTTGGATTACAATACTGCACTAGGACAGTGGTGGCCAACTTGAAAATAATAAAGGGTCTCAAGTATGGCCACTCACACTTCTAGAGGACACCACAATACCAGTGTGTTTTCATGCATTGAGGTGCGTTGCATTGGGTTAGGCAGCCCATTCAAAGTAAATAGGCTGTAACACACCAACACTGGAAATTTCATTACTGCTGCATTTTTTCCAAGGTACTGCAAAACACTGAATAGTCATCATTAGTGTCAGTAGCCAAAATAAAAACCCCAGCATTGGTTTTAGTGACTGCAGTAATACCCCCCCAGCATTGGTGTCAGTGAATGCAATAATGCCCCCCAGCATTGGTATCAGTGAATGCAATAATGCCCCCCAGCATTGGCATCAGTGAATGCAATAATACCCCCCAGCATTGGCATCAGTGAATGCAATAATACCCCACAGCATTCAAAGTAAATGGGCTGTAACACACCAACACTTGAAATTTCACTACTGCTGCATTTTTTCCAAGGTACTGGAAAACACTGAATAGTCATCATTATTGTCAGTAGCCACAATAAAAACCCCAGCATTGGTTTGAGTGACTGCAGTAATACCCCCCAGCATTGGTGCCAGTGAGCACAATAATAATCCCCAGCATTGGTATCAGTGAATGCAATAATACCCCCTAGCATTGATGTCGGTGAGCACATGAACAACCCCCAGAATCGGTATCCATGAATACAAAAATACCCCCCAGCATTGGTGTCAATGAGCACAATAATAAACCCCAGCATTGGTATCCTTGAATGCAGTAATAACCCCCAACATTGGTATCAGTGACTGCAATAATACCCCCCAGCATTGATGTTGGTGAGCACAATAACAACCCCCAGCATTGGTATCAGTGAATGCAATAATACCCCCCAGCATTGGTGTCAGTGAGCACAATAATAAATCCTAGAATTGGTATCCTTGAATGCAGTAATAACCCCCAGCATTGGTTTGAGTGACTGCAGTAATAACCCACAGCATTTGTGTCAGTGAGCACAATAATAACCCCCAGCATTGGTATCAGTGAATGCAATAATACCCCCCAGCATTGATGTTGGTAAGCACAATAACAACCCCCACCATTGGTATCAGTGAATGCAATAATACCCCCCAGCATTGGTGTCAGTGAGCACAATAATAAACCCCAGAATTGGTATCTTTGAATGCAGTAATAACCCCCAGCATTGGTTTGAGTGACTGCAGTAATAACCCACAGCATTGTAGTGAGTGAATGCAATAATAACTCCCAGGATTGGTGTCAGTAAGCACAATAATAACCCCCAGCATTGTTATCGGCGAATGCAATATTAACCCCCAACATTGGTGTCAGTGAGCACAATAAAAAAAAAACCCAGCATTGGTATCTGTGAGAGCAATAAAAGCTCCCAGCATTGGTGTCAGTGACTGTAATAAAAACTTCCAGCATTGCTATCAGTGAATGTAACAATATCCCCGAGCATTGGTGTCAGTGGCAGCAACAATAACCCCCAGAACTGGTGTCAGTGACCGTAATGTAAACTTCCAGCATTGGTGTCAGTGACTACAATAATAACCCCCCAACACCGGTCTCATTAATCCCCGTAAAAACCGCCGAGCATTGGTGTCAGTGGCTGCAGTAATAAACTGTAGCATGGGTGTAGGTAACAGAATGACAGTGCTTTGAACCTCACCCAGGTGGCTCAGGTAGCTGTGCTATTAAACTCCCCCTCCCCCTTCCCAGCCATAGACTTTGACAGGCCGCAGCAGAGGGGCTAGGTGTTGTCCCTGTCTTTCCTGGGTGCACTAATATGTCGGGGGGGGGTGTGCAGCAGCTAGACAGCGCTCTGTGAAATGCTTTAACATGAACAAGATATCTGATGCTATTTTTATTTTAATGAACCTTTGACATTGTACTCAGGCATACTCATTCTCTGTGTTTTTATTTTGTATTTACAGACAGTAAACTTTACTTAAAGCCACGGAGTGGAGGAAAGCTGAGAAGGTAACTGTAGTATTCGTGTAGGTCCTTAGGACTGTATCATAGAACAGTTTTGAAATAGGCTGGCAAACACCTCTGTGCTCAGCGTTTCTCACTGCTGCCCCTTTACATCACTACTGTGTCCTGATCCACAAAGCACAGACGGGTGTTAGGAAATAGACACTCCCTGACCCCTGGTTCACATATCTGCGTTCCTGCGGGCCACATTTTACACAAGCACGAGAGCCCATTCATTTGAACAGACTCCCGTGCCCCGGGACACGCAGGGAAGAAGTCCCTGCACTTCTTCAGAAAATGCAGCCCGCATGGGAACCTCAGTTCCCACCATGGTTTCGATTTCCAGTGCGGGCGGCTTGCCATTAGAATTAGTGGCACCCGCCCATGGGTCCGCATTCTTCTGTGAGGGTGGTGTGGCTGCACGGATTTTTGTGCGGATCCGCAGCGGCACCACCCGCACATATGTGAATCTGGCCTCAAGGCAGCCAAACTTCACAGTCCATGTTCCAGCCGCCAAAAAACAAAGCCACACCAGGCAAATCTTTTGGCTTAGTATTTTCTTCCTGACTTGGCATTTGGGGGGCACTTGGTGGGCATTGAACCTGTCCAGCAAGCATCTGACTGCAGGAGCCTTGAACTCAGGTTCATACAGTCAATGTTTTACATTTTTTTTTTTTTTTTTTTTTTTGTTTTTGTTCTTTTAGTCACAAGATCATGTGATCATTACCAGAGAGCATCACAGTACTCCAAATCATTCAAAAGCAAAAGTAACATTTTTTCTCTATTTTTTGAATTGGCAAACGTGATATATTTACATTTTTTTTAGTAAAAAAAAACTATCCATTTAAGTGAATCCTTTGAAAAGCAAATGCATGAACAATGATCACAGACCATCACATGATTAGTTTTAGGCTGCATTCACAGTGGAGTGTTTTGTAGCTTGAAGCTCCAAAAATGCTCAAAGTTAAAAAATCAATTGTTCTCTATGGTGCCTGTGCGTGCGATCAGGTGTGAACAGGCACCATAGAGAACAGTTGATTTTTTTACGTTTGTGCTTTTTTGGAGCTTCAAGCTACAAAACGCTCAAGTGTGAATGCAGCCGTACAGTAGTTCTGTGATCAAAAGTTGTCTGTGTGCCTCTAGCAGTACAGTACTTATTCTCCCTGCTACCAGGCAAGGGCACCACTGAATTTATTGGTAATATGTGGAACAGAATAACACTGATTAGGTCTGCTGTGAACTGAAAAAGTATGTGTAATGCTGATGTATGCAAGGACCCCTCTGGCACCCAAGAGAGATGTCAAAGTGCTAAGGAGAAGATGAAGGGGGTTAATAAAAACTAAATAGGGGTAATTAAAGTGATTGTAAACACATGTTTTTTTTTTTTTCTTTAAAATACTAAATATGTCATACTCACCTGCTCTGTGCAATGGTTTTGCACAGAGCATCCCCAATCATCCTCTTCTTGGGCCCCAATTCTGAAAATCGATCAATTCTGATGTACTGATGGCTTATCTCATTTCTTGAAAGATATCCCCAAATTACCCCTTTATGGTGAAGTATTTTTTGAAGTTGTAATTTTTTTTGTCAATTTTTTTTTTTTTTTTTTTACATACTGTCATCACATAACTGGTGTGGTGGTAATCAGGGACAATGACTGGTGACAGTATGGGAAAAAAAAACAATTTTAATAATTTTTTAATGTTTTATTTTTTTTCCCAACTCACTGTGACCAGAGCAATATATTGTTACAATAGTAACATTGTACTACTCTGGGGAACTGATCAGGATTTTTTTTTATTTATACAAAGCAGCATGTCTCTCTAGTAAAACAGCACACCGTGTAAGCACAGCACACAGTTAACCCTTTGATTGCTCCAGATGTTACCCCTTCCTGACCAGTGTCATTAGTACAGTGTCATTGCTTTTTATTAGCACTGATGTCAGTATTAGTGTAACTGGAGATGTCAGTGGCCATTAGTCAGTTCCCCCCAGTGTCAGAATGCCCACCACAGTTGCTGATCGTCGCCATTACTAGCATTAAAAAGAAAAAAAAATTCCAGTATATATACCGCCATTTGTAGACGCTATAAATTTCACACAAACCAATTAATTTGCACGTATTGGGATTTTTTTTTTTAGCAAAGAATACATTTTTTCCTAAATTCATGAAGAAATGTTAATTTTTTTTAAATTTTTTTATTGAGTATGTTTTATAGCAAAAAGTAAAAAATATTGTTATTTATTTCAAATTTGACTTTTTTTTTTTTTTATTTATAGCATAAAAAATAAATAATGCAGAGATGACCTGAAAGAAAGCTCTATTTGTGGGAAAAAAATGACATAAATTTCATTTGGGTGCAGCGTTGCATGACTGCTCAATTGTCAGTTAAAGTAACGCAGCGCCGTATCTTATAAAATGGCCTGGTCAGGAAGGGGGGTAAATCTTCTGGAGGGTAAGCGGTTTAATCAATTTTTTACTGAGACTTTCTGGAGCAAAGTACTTAGTACCTGTTATATAGAAGGTCTGAATTTATATTATGGATTTGCATTAACAGGTGTATTACATTGTATTCATTCATCCTGTAGAACACCCAGTAATATTTCTCAGGGTCTTCCAAGGATCACCACCCATAACATTGTACAACGCCCAGTATCCCGGACCAACCCCAGAACGGCAGACAGACCACCCAAAGGGGAGAATTCCAGACAGGTGAGAAGATGATTGATATTACCATTTAGTATTGGTACAATATACCAAAACTACTTTATTGTCTTTTACTTCTGTGTGTGCACATTGGGGGCCGTATTATAATTAAAGTGGTTATAAACCCTTACATATACCCAGTGAAGTGAATGGTCTCAGGTGATACACCTGAGATGAAACAAATCCTCCTACATAAGTTGTACCTGTTTATCTGCAGTCTTCTCTTTAAAGCTTGTCTGAGAGTCCCAAATAAAGGGGGTGGAGAGCTGAAATCACACAGTGCAGAGCTCAGTGAGGAGAGCTAATTGGAGGGAAGAGACACCCCTTCTTTAAACAGCCGACAGGAAAAGAGCTAAGGTTGTCAATCTGCTGGAGGTCCCTCCCCTGTCACCTTTTTTCTCTTGGTGTCAGGAAAACTTAATGTTTTCCTTCCTCTGCTATTAGCATGAAGTGATTCAATAGTAGGGTTCAAAATTGAGTTGGCCCCGCTCTTTGCAGCTATAACAGTTTCAACTCTTCTGGGAAGGCCGTCCACAAGGTTTAGGAGGGTGTCTATGGGAAGGTTGGACCATTCTTCCAGAAGCACATGTGTGAGGTCAGGCGCTGATGTCGGGGGATAAAGCCTGGCTTTCAGTCTCCACTCTAATTCATTCCAAAGGTGTTCTATGGGGTTGAGGTCAGGACTCTGTGCAGGCCAGTCGAGTTCCTCCACCCCAAACTGGCTCCTCCATGTCTTTATGGACCTTGCTTTGTGCACTGGTGTGCAGTCATGTTGGAACAGGAAAGGGCCATCCCCAAACTCTTCCCACAAAGTTGGGAGCATGAAATTGTCCAAAATGTCTTGTTATGCTGACACCTTAAGAGTTCCCTTCACTGGAACTAGGGGGCCAAGCTCAACCCCTGAAAAACAACCCCACACCATAATCCCCCCTCCACCAAACTTTACACTCGGCACAATGCAGTCAGGCAAGTACTGTTCTCCTGACAACTGCCAAACCCAGACATGTCCATCGGATTGCCAGACAGAGAAGCATGATTGGTCACTCCAGAGAACACATCTTCACTTCTCTAGAGTCCAGTGGCAGCGTACTTTACACCACGGCATCTGATGCTTTGCATTGCACTTGGTGATGTAAGGCTTGGATGCAGCTGCTCGGCCATGGAAACCCATTCCATGAAGATCTCTACACACTGTTGTTGTGCTATTCTGAAGGCCACACCAAGTTTGGAGGTCTTTAGCTATTGACTCTGCAGACAGTTGGTGACTTCTGCGCACTGTGCGCTTCAACATGCGCTGACCCCGCTCTGTCATGTGACGTGGCCTACCACTTGGTGGCTGAGTTGCTGTTGTTTCCAGATTCTTCCACTTTGTTATAATACCACTAACAGTGGAGCATGGAATATTTAGTAGCCAGGAAATGTCACGGATGGACTTATTGCACAGGTGGCCACCTATCACGGGACCACGCTTGGAGTCACTGAGCTCCTGAGAGCGACCCATTTTTTCACAGATGTTTGTAGAAGCAGTTTGCATGCCTAGGGGCTTGATTGTATACACCTGTGTCCATGGAGGTGATTGGAACACCTGAATCACATGATTTGGAGGGCTGGCCCAATACTTTTGGCAACCTTAAGGGCCGTCTCACGGACCGAAAGAGATCTATGCTTTGGCATATGTTAACCACCATGGAGTCCCAATCCTCTTCAGAAAAAGTGATGCCGTATTTAGCTTCCCATTTCTGTCTATACAAGGGGGGTAAGGGAGAGATAGCTATCACAGCCCACACTGAAGATGCCGGCCTCCTGGAATACAGGACGGCCGGTGAAATGGGCTGCAGGGGACACACCACGGGACCGAGGGACAGGTGAGTGGCTGTTTTGTAAAATTCAGCAGCTACAGTTTTTCAAGCTGCTGACTTTTATTTTTTGACAAGGTGAGTGGAACTCCGCTTTAAGGGATGGTTATAACCCTGATAGGTTTTTTTTTTGCCATTTGTGTCCAATTGGGGACATTTCCCCTGACTTCCTATCCCATTAGCCAAAACAGGAAGTGAGTGTAAATCCCTCTAAAGTGAAACTAGTGCCCCATTGGAGATTACCCCTCTATTTCTGGGGATAACCCCCTTTTTACTTTCACTTTTGGTGGTATCGGTAAACAGAACAAACAGAGATGGTGAATTTCCCTAACAGGGACCAAGACAACAATACAAACCTGACAGGGGTTCTAATCCCTCCTCACTCTGTCCAAAACTAAAAAGTAAGTATTGCCTTTAGTTATACTTTAAATGTCGTACGTCACAATTCACAAAAGCCTAATGCACGCCATGTTTCCATTTCTGTTATTTCATTCAGATTTTTTTTTTTTTTTTTGCTATGATGAGACAAACTAAGGAATCCAGGTGAAATAACCCCAGCAGCTCTGGGAGTTGGACTTATTTTGCCACCTGAACACATGCTCAGATGTTTCGATAATGCATTTAATTCTGCATTTTACAGGAAAATGGCAGCCACAGCCCAGCAGAAGTAGAGGTTGCCCTGAATGTTTCTGCCATCAACAGAAATTGTGGGGACGGTGCTTTACACAAGAGGGTCAGTATCATTCTACAAGAGGAGCTGTGGGAAAAAAACATGTCAGCTATGTTTCATTTGGTTTCCGTAGCTCAAATGTTATGCAGGCCATAGACGGGCCGTCTATGGCCTGCATATAAACGAAAAATCAGTCGGTGCCGTTGCCGATGCTGCCACCAATGCTCACGAAAGAATGGGACAAGAAACCAGTTTGACAGAGAAAGGGGAGCAAACCATACAATGTGACAGCAATACACATACATTATGTTTTTATTTGGATACAAATGGATAATTTTTGTTGCAACCGCAATACTTTTTCATATGAAATATAATAGCAGACTTCTTCTTTCTTCTTCTTCTTCTTCTTCCTTCTTATTCGTTCTTCTTCTTCTTATTCCTTCTTCTTCTTCCCTCTTCTTTCCTCTTCTTCTGCTTTCTTCCTTCTTCTTCTTCTTTCTTTCTTCTTCCTTTCTTCTTCCTCCTTCTTCTTCTTCCTCCTTCTTTTTCTTCTTCTTTTTCTTCTTCTCCTTCTTCTTCTCCTTCTTCTTCTCCTTCTTCTTCTTCTTTCTTCTTCCTTTCTTCTTTCCTTCCTTCTTCTTCTTCCTCCTTCTGCTTCCTCCTTCTTCTTCTTCTTCTTCTTCTTCTTTTTCTTCTTCCTCCTTCTTCTTCTCCTTCTTCTTCTTCTTCTTTCTTCTTCTTCTTCTTTCTTCTTCTTCTTCTTCTTTCTCCTTCTTCTTCTTCTTTCTTCTTCTTCTTCTTTCTTCTTCTTTCTTCTTCTTCTTCTTCTTCTTTCTTCTTCTTTCTTTTCTTCTTTCTTTCTTCTTCTTCTTCTTCTTCTTCTTCTTCTTCTTCTTTTCTTCTTCCTCTTCCTTCTTATTCGTTCTTCTTATTATTATTCCTTCTTCTTCCTTCTTCTTTCTTCTTCCTTCTTCTTCTTCTTCTTCTTCTTTCTTTCTTCTTCCTTTCTTATTCCTCCTTCTGCTTCTTCCTCCTTCTTCTTCTTCTTCTTTCTTCTTTCTTCTTCTTCTTTCTTTCTTCTTCCTTCTTCTTCCTCCTTCTTCTTCTTCCTTCTTCCTCTTTCTTTCTGCTTCCTTCTTTCTTTCTTTCTTTCTTCTTTCTTTCTTCTTCCTGCTTCCTTCTTTCTTCTTCCTTCTTCTTCCTCCTTCTTCTTTCTTCTTCCTCTTCTTCCCTCTTCTTTCTACTTCTTCCTTCTTTCTTCTTCTTCCTTCTTTCTTCTTCTTCTTTCTTCCTTCGTCCTCTCCTTCTTCTTCTTCTTCTTCTTCCTTCTTTTTCCTCTTCTTCTTCTTCCCTCTTCTTCTTCTTCTTTCTTCTTTCTCTTCTTTTTCCTTCTTCTTCTTCTTCTTCTTCTTCTTTCTTCTTCTTCTGCTTCCTTCGTCCTCGTCCTCTCTTCTTCTTCTTCTTCTTCTTCTTCTTCTTCTTCTTCTTTCTTTTTCCTCTTCTTCTTTCTTCTTCTTCTGTTTCCTTCGTCCTCTCCTTCTTCTTCTTCTTCTTCTTCTTTCTTTTTCCTCTTCTTCTTTTTCCCTCTTCTTCTTTCTTCTTCCTCTTCTTCTTCTTCCTCTTCCTCAAAAATGGCCAACCAATTTTACAAACTAACAGTGCGAAAATCGGCTGATTTTTTTTTTTTTTTTTTCGACCCGTCTATGGCCAGCATTACTCTTACTTGTAACCCTTTAACCACAATTTTAATAGAGAAATATTATCTTTTTGAATCCGTTTTATGTTCATTTTTGAAATGTAATACATCTTAAAAGTATTTATATGTGTTTAATTTTATACATAAAACCTTTTTTTAAATATGCTTGAGGGACACACAGGATACCCAGAGCACTATGGGCTTTCTAGAGAGCACAGCAGTAACTGTTTTCTTTTAGACTATCTGTCTCTGGGTAAAATAAAGCTACAAATCTCTGCTTGTTTTTTTTTTTCTGCCGATTTTAGCTAGCTAGAGAGTTGCTGCTGTTGATCGTTACAGCATTTTTCTTTGCAGCTACAAATTGGTGGTGTCAGTTTCCCCCTTCAATACCACCCCTTCCTCCGATAGTGTTTGGGATTGCACACAAACCTCTCACCTCCTAACTTCCCACATCCAGCTACTAGAGACTCAGCATAAAGAAAGGTCAGCATTGCATGTATTTTTCAAAACGTTCGAGACTATTTTTGTACCATGTCAATGGATGGCTGCACGCACAGTCACAGGGAGCACTGACCTTCATAAATCAGTGTGCCAAAAGACATTGTTCTGTGTACATTGATAGCTGTGCAACTGGTGCTATTCTGATCATGTGCGTTAACTTGTCTGCTATTTCATCATGGACAGCAAGTTAGAACAAAGAGCAAACATGAAATTCTGAGTGAAACTGAGCAAATCTGCCACAGAGACGTTTAACCTGATGCTGCAAGTTTACGGCAATGCTGTAATGAGTTGTTTGAGGTGTTTTGAGTGGCACACGCGCTTCAAGAGTGGAAGAACATCACTGGAAGACAACAAGAGATTGGGAAGACCTTCAACGAGCTCAACTCCTGAAAATGCCCTCTTCCCAAAGATCCAGCTTAAAGGTCGCGGTTTTGACAACATTGCGGAGATCCTGCGATTTGATCAGTTTCACGCAGAATTTCACATCTGCTCTTTATTGTAACTTGCTGTCCATGGTGAAATAGCAGACGTGGTAATGCACATGGTCAGAATAGCACCAGTTGCACAGCTCCCGATATACAGAAGACGATGTCTTTTGGCGTGTTACAAAACCAGTCTCGAAACCTCAGACCTTGCCCTGACAAAGAGGACCTGAGTACCCTCGACATTTGTGTCGGTAATTGAAGTTTGTAGTAGAAGAGCTAAGTCTTACATAGGTTGTTGGCATTTCCTCATGTTGAGCGCTCAGGCCTTCCTATTGGCTGGTCAGCCCAAAGCACTGTTACATTGGGGAGGTCATGTGACACCCGCTTCAGGAAAACCCTCTAGATTACAGCAATGTAGTGAAGGGTCCTGATGAAGCACGGAGTCAGCAAGTAAGCACAGATGAATGCGTGTACCTTTTTGGGGGTCAGTAGGGGCCAGGGGCACTGTCCCTCTGCCCTAAATGAACAAAATAGCAATGTCTCCTTATCATGTCACTAACCTGTATTTCTCCCATTTAATGCAAAAGGGACAAATTATTGATTTCCGTGGCATGATACAAGACGCCATTAAAGGGGCATCAAATGAAATCACTATGAACAGTTTGAACTACAATCTGGACCCTTCGGTGAGTTTTAACCATTTATAGATGTTGAATTACCTAAGAGAAGAACTATGTCATACAAACCAATTGGATTCTCCCTCCCATTGTGAGTAGTGCCATACTCTGCTATCTCTGGGCATAACCACGGAGGCTAAAGCCTTCCATCCCCACCAGTGACCGCATCTACGTGGAGTTTGTATGTTTTTTATAGTAATTTTGTTGGTTTTCTCTGGGTGGTCCAACTTTTTTCCCATAATCCAAACACATACTCAGGGGCACATTTACCGTTAGCCATAGTAGCCTTGTGGTCATAGGTGTCAGGCATAAAGAGGCAGATTGTGGCTGATAAGTGATCAGCTGTGTATTTCTGCCATCAGATGAAAATATAGATAAATTAATATACTTTTATTTTGACATTACTTTATATTAATACACATTGTCACAATATACTAAACCAGGTCAGAACCCGTAACAATAGAAAGAAATTCTGCATGTGAGGCAATACTAGCAGAGGGTTGTTAACTGTCTAAGGGCCTTTGTGGACAAGCTTTGGGCTTGTGTCAATGGCATCAATTGGAGAGGCTAAATCATTCAGAATTCATTAACAGATGCAACTGACTTGCAGTTGACCTCTCTCTGACCTGCTTTATTGGGTTTTGCATTCCCATGGACTTGTGTATGAATGCCAAACCTGTTGACTGGCCTGTGCACTCTGTAGTATTGAGTATCTGAGAGCATTCTTCTGTTAGACACTTAGCAACTATTTGCCAACATGTTTGTTTAGCAGGGGTCTTCAAACTTTGTAAACAAAGGGCCAGTGTACTGGCCTTCAGACTTTAGGGGGGCCTGACTGTGGCCCAGCATCAATGGGAGTAAAGAATGCATTTTTGGTATTAGAGATAGGAATAGCACCCCATTGTTGGTATCAGTGGCAGGACTAGTGCCTCATTGCTGGTGTCAGTTTGAGTAATAGTGCCCCATTGTTGGTATCAGTAGGAGGAATAGTGCCATGTTCTTGGTATCAATGGGAGGAATAGTGCCTCACCATTGGTGTCATTAGGAGTTTAGTGCCCCATCGTTGGTGTTAGTGGTAGGTGTAGTGCCCCATTGTTGGCGTCAGTGGGAGTAATAGTGCCCCATTGTTGGCGTCAGTGGGAGTAATAGTGCCCCATTTTTGGTGTCAGTGGGAGTAATAGTGCCCCATTGTTGGCATCAGTGGGAGTAATAATGCCCCATTGTTGGCATCAGTGGGAGTAATAATGCCCCATTGTTGGTGTCAGTGGGAGTAATAGTGCCCCATTGTTGGCGTCAGTGGGAGTAATAGTGCCCCATAGTTGGCGTCAGTGGGAGTAATAGTGCCCCATTTTTGGCATCAGTGGGAGTAATAGTGCCCCATTGTTGGTGTCAGTGGGAGTAATAGTGCCCCATTGTTGGCGTCAGTGGGAGTAATAGTGCCCCATAGTTGGCGTCAGTGGGAGTAATAGTGCCCCATAGTTGGCGTCAGTGGGAGTAATAGTGCCCCATTTTTGGCATCAGTGGGAGTAATAGTGCCCCATTTTTGGCATCAGTGGGAGTAATAGTGCCCCATTTTTTGGCATCAGTGGGAGTAATAGTGCCCCATTTTTGGCATCAGTGGGAGTAATAGTGCCCCATTGTTGGCGACAGTGGGAGTAATAGTGCCTCGTTTTTTGGCGTCAGTGGGAGTAATAGCGCCCCATCTTTGGTGTCAGAGGGAGCAAAGTGCCCTATCGTTGGTGTCAGTAGGAGGAATAGTTCCCCTTCATTGGTGTCAGTGGGAGGAATAGTGCCCATTGATGTCAGTAGCAGGATTTATGCCCCACTGTTGGTGTCAGTGGGTGGAATAGTTTCTTGTAGCTGTGTAAGGAAAAGTGCCCCAAGGGCCGGATAAAGACAAGCATAGGGCCGCATCTGGCCCCTAGGCTGCTTTTTGGAGACCACTGGCTTAAAATGACCATGTATTTTAAAGTGGTTATAAAGTTGCATTCTCTGTATTAGGGTAAAAAACATTTCAATGTCAGTCCTCCCCCCTCCCAGGCCCCACTAAATACTCACCTGAGCGTGATCTACATCCAGCACTGTGCACTTCTGCAGCAGCTCATCTCCCCTCTCTCTGCTCTCACAGGGTAGGCTGAGTAGGGATATTTGTTGGCTCCTGCTGCTGTCAGTCAAAACCTGTGTGCAAAGAGCGGGGGGCTCAGCTCAGCTCGGGATTGAACATGCAGAAGTGCCGCCATAGGAAGCGGCTTCTTATGGGAGCAGTCAGTGGGGGGGGGGGGCAGGAGTGCCAACGGGGAACCTGAGAAGAGGAGGATTGGGGCTGCTCTGTGCAAAACCACTGAGCAGGTAAGTATGACGTATTTATTATTTTTATTAAAAAAAATGTCAAAACTGAACTTAAACTGAATGTAAAGCTTAAGCGGGTTCCCACGATGTCCTTATCTGTCCTTCTCTTTCCTGCGGCTTCATTCAGCCATCACAAGGGAAGACAGGCAATCCTGTGTAGTTGAAGTTATACAATATAGCTTAGACAAGGTTGAGGATTATCTCATTAACCCCATGTGATGGCGCTGTATCTGAGCGGCTAAATAGCAAACGACAACGCTGTCACCTGGGAGGAAGGGGAGTGAATGTCATGCTACCCCATGCTAGAAGTACCAGGTATTTCTCCTCATTCCTGAAAGCAAACAGAATTTGTATATCCAGCTGTATTTAGATTGAACAGGGTGTTTTGCCCTAGATTCACTTTAAAGTGGACCTAAAATCAAATAACAAACTTTAAGTGTCTGAATGCTAAGCAAATACTTTCAGGTACTCCCATAGTACTCCCCCGGACAATGCCTTCACCTGCTTTTCTTCCCAGTAGGACAGCACCATCTTTATTTAGGCATCACCCAGGATCATTTTCTACTTGCTGGACTGAGATGCCAGCTCAGAGGTGATCCAGATCAGAGGTGACCCAGCTCAGAGGTGACCCAAATGTGTAAATCCAGGCGACTGGGCAGTTCTTGGCTGTGTTTCACAAATGTAGGACACAGATCACCCTTGTTGCATCATGTGACTTGTTACAAAGTTACAGCTTTTTTGAAAATGACACTGTTCCTGTATACTGTGACATGTCATATGGGCAGCACAGTGGCTATGGGCAGCACAGTGGCTAAATGGTTAGCACTTCCGCCTGGCAGTACTAGGGTCGTTGGTTCGAATCCCAACCACGGCACCACCTGCCTGGAGTTTGCATGTTCTCCCTGTGCCTGCGTGGGTTTCCTCCGGGTACTCCGGTCTCCTTCCACACTCCAAAGACATGCTGGTAGGTGAATTGGATCCTGTCTAAATTGGCCCCTAGTATGTGTATGTATGAATGTGAGTTAAGGACCTTAGATTGTGAGCCCCTTGAGGGTTAGGGAGTGATGTGAATGTACAATATATATGTAAAGTGCTGCGTAAATTGACGGCTCTATACCTGTAATGAATAAAATATATAAAATCAGGTTCACCTGTTTTTCAGGCAGACCCAATTGGACCCTCTGCTCTCATGCTGGGAGGTGAATTAGATTGTACACCCCTTGAGGGTTAGGGACTGATGTGAATGTACAATATATATGTAAAGTGCGGAGTAAATTGATGGCGCTATATAAGTACCTGAAATAATAATAAATAATGTCATGGATTTATTCATACAGGCATGTAAAGTTAATAAACGTAAAAATGTATTAGTAGACTGTATAATTACATCAGTTCATTCCTTTATCCTTTGTTCTCCCCAGGAACGCTTACTCAAACCGGTCAGTGCATTTATTGGGGCCAACAGTGAGATGAGGGAGCTGGCAGCAGTGATCAGCAGGGTGAGCTTCTGTTACATCATAAATGTATTTTCAGGAATCGCCTCTCTCCATTTGCCCTCATCAAAAGATTTCATTCCGCACATGAGCTTTGTAAATATACACTCTAGAATTCAAAGTGAATCAACGCTACTTTGATTGCTGGAATCTGGGCTGTTTGAATTCATTAAAGACACCCAACTTAAACAGTTGCAAGTAAAAGGATGGAGAAATTAGGCAACTTTAAATTCACTTCCATAGCAGATTTTTTTTCAATGCAATGTCACTTGGACTTACTAGAAAATTTGACTATACCAGAAAGAGCCAAGTCCCTAGCACAGCCCCCTCCCTTCTTGCACACCATTGCCCTCTCCTCTTCTAAGAGAGTCTAACTACTCTCTGTGCAGGCCCAGCTCCTCAACCTTTCTGCTCATCTTAGCACATAAACTTTTATGTAGCTGCCAGGGGAGGAGTGAAGGGGAATACTATAGAGAGTCAGTTGAGTGACAGATCTTAGTCTTCGGGGGCTTCTGACATCACATCCAAGATGACGGCAATGCACAAGCATGGACAAAAATGGACATGCAGCATTTTTTCTGATGCAGCAAAATGCTCAAAGTGTGTTAATGTGTAAGTTATCGCTGTGCACTGAATTGCAAATACACCTTTTGGTCCCCAATGTTCTACAAGCAGGTGCGGTAAGTAGTGGCCAAGCTTTGGGTAAAGCCTTTGATAGTGACCAGGTCCCAGGCAGCAGTGATGCTGTGTATTCATATACTTCATTATGGCACCTGTGCTCATATTGGACATCTGTGTGAACTAAGCTAACATACCTAAACCTGACCCAGAATCCACTGCAGGTTCCAACATACCTACTAAGGCAAAGCTTGACCTGAATAAAAATAAAACTAAACAGCAAGCCCCTCCCCTGGCACCAGCATTCCGGAAATATGTAGGCAGTGTTTTATACTTCAATTGTGTACTTCATTTATATTTGCTTTGTCATACATTTTAAAGTGTCTGTATCCCCTAACAATTATTTTCTCTTATTTGGTCTGTTAGATATTCCACTGAAATATTAAAAAAATAACTCTTGATACAGTCAGAAATCTTGTTAGCTGTTAACTATCTGTGCTCTCCGCTCTGTTATCAGTTACATTGCTTGCAGCTATTTCTAAGGACTACAGAACACATCTCCCCTAATTTATGAAGAAGGGGCAAGAGGGAGGTGCTCTGTAGTCCTGTCCTAGGGTACTCTTCCATAGGAACAGTACAGTGAGTGAATGTATGTCACCTTGGGTTAGGAAATGTGTTCTGGCAGGATCAGAAAATAAAAAGTTAAAGAGGTAATAGAAGGCAGCCACCACATCTAAGGCCTCTATTATTATTATTATACAGTATTTATAAAGCGCCGATGGTTCGCTCAGCGCTGTACATTACAAAGGGGGACAGAACATGTGACAGAACAATACCAATACAATGCAAAACATGAGGGGGTTCGAGGGCCCTGCTCCTTGGAAATTACAATCTAGGAGGAGGGGGGATGGTGGCACAGGAGGAGATAGCTGTGGGGGGGTGGAGTGGTAGGAAGAGTGGAGGAGGTCGGCAAGTTAGCAGGGGGTGGGGTAGGCTTCCCTGAAGAGATGGGTTTTCAGGGTGCGCCTAAAGGAGAGGAGAGTAGGTGATAATCTGATGGGTTGGGGCAGGGAGTTCCAGAGGATGGGTGACACCCTGGAGAAGTCTTGGAGGCGGGCATGGGAGGAGGAGACCAGGGAACTAGAGAGAAGGAGGTCTTGTGAAAAGCGGAGTGTGCGTGTTGGGTGGTACTTGGATATTGGGTCGGTGATGTAGTTCGGGGCAGTATGGTGGACGGCTTTGTACGTCAGTGTTAGGATTTTGAATTTTGATCCGTTGCGCAATCGGAAGCCAGTAGAGGGATTGGCAGAGGGGGGGTGGCGGAGACGGAGCGGTTGGTGGGGTGAATGAGTCTGGCTGCCATATTCAGGATCGACTGAAGCGGGGATAGCCAGCGGCGAGGCAGGCCAGTGAGGAGGGAGTTTGCAGTAATCGAGTCGTGATATGATGAGGGAGTGGCCTCTATATTGCATTTTGGTTATGGTTTTAGCTACAGAACACAAAACAGGAAATATACTGAGAGCTGCATAACATTGTTTGCAGTGCACATGCCTGGCCAGCAGTGGGAGATACTGACCCTACTGTTCATGCTAGCTTGATAGCTGAAGTTTATGCAACCTGGATAGAATGTATAATTGGTAATTGGAGTGCTTGTCTTTCTATAGGATATTTATTTACAGAACCCAAACGTAAGGTGGGATGATATTATTGGACTTGACGCGGCAAAGCGACTTGTGAAGGAGGCTGTGGTCTACCCTATACGAGTGAGTGAGGTTTGGCTGAAATTTCAATTACATCAGGATGCTGTCTTATGATGAAGAATGTTCAGTTCTGTAAATACATCCATTTTTGTGGGGAGAAAGGCTATACCTGAGAGTTTTTTCTTTTTTTTTCATTCCTGCTTCCTACTGAGGAGGGGCAGTGACACATACTGAGCTAAATACAAACTGCTACACATTAACCACTTCCCGTCTGGCCCATGTATATAAACTGCCTCACGGGAGCATTGCAGGAGCGGGTGGCTGTTTATAAACATCCTCCCCTCTCCCCGCCTGTCCGGAGGACACAGCGGAACACCAATCACTGTACAGGAGCTCAGTGTGAGGTCCCAATCATGTGATCACTGATTGGCCAATCAGTGATCACATGAATAGTAGTAAGCAAGATGTCACTTCTGACATCATTGCTTACTACATGTGAAATCTGTGAATGATCACAGAGGTCACATGGTACAGGGCTATTCACAACAGCCTTGTACCATGTGAGAAGCTGTGACCAATGACAGCTCACACAGTAGTTCTCAATGGCTGCAAGAAAGCAGTGTAAAAAAAAAAAAAAAAATCTTCATCACCCCCCCCCACAAGTAGTACAGTGTCACTATGGTGACACTGTACTGCTAGGGTGACCGTATGTTTAAAAAAAAACCCATAAATAATAATATAAAAAAAAATTAAATAATGTCAAAATTTTTTTTTTTTAATTATAGTTTTTGTTTGGGTTTTTTTTTTTTACTAAAAAAAATAGCTGAATACATTTTGAGCAAGATTTATGAAGAAAGATTATTTATTTGCAAAATTTTATAAGATAAACACTTTTTTTTCAAAATTTTGGGACTTTTTTCATTTTCACCAAAATAAAGTTTTATCTGTCTCAAAAAAATGCTAAAAAATTCATATGGGTACAATGTTGCATGACCGCGCAATTGTCATTCAAAGTGTGATAGCACTGAAAGCTGAAAATTGGCCTGGGCAGGAAGGGGGTGAAAGTGTCCGGACTTGAAGTGGTTAACAGCAAATTGTTAACTTTCAACATTGACTGTTATATTTTAGTGCTGACAGCTCTGGACCTGATAATGAATGTCTGGCATTCCAGGGTTATTCAATATAAATATAGCCAATATTTTTCCAAAGCTAAAAAGATCATTGGTGTCATGCCACTGGCTGTGTAAAATAGCATTGGCCCTGAACTATTCAGGTACCATCTGATAGGAGGTGAATCAGCCACAGTGCAAGGAACCCCCAAACAACCTCTGGAGCAGGGGTGGCTAACCTGTGGCTCTCCAGCTGTTGTGGAACTACATTTCCCATGAGGCATTGCAAAGATGGGAAGTTACTGACTTGCAGAGGCATGATGGAACTTGTAGTCCTGCAGCAGCTGGAGAGCCGCAGGTTGGCCACCCCTGCTCTGGAGGAACCCAAGGGTTTCAGGGAACCCTGGCTGAGATTGGCTGGTATAGAGTGTGGAAGTTTTAAAACCCTTAAAAAGTTTACTATTTGGAGCCACAAGAGGTTTCGCCATGATATATACAGTACTCATCATAAATGAGTACACCCCAACAGACTTGGCAGAAAACCTTTACTTTCCTACCAGAATCGACATTTTCTATGGGACACTATACTACAAAATACTCCCACAAATGCCGGCCATTGATTGCAAACAAGATTTGTTCATTTGGACACACAAAAAAGTATTTTTCCTAACAAATTTATTCAAGACCATGTTGAAAAAGAATGAATACACCCCAATGAAAGTCTTACACCCCAGTCACATCAAACCCAACTTTGAAATTGGGCAACTTACAGTGAAGTCATACGATATTAAAATTCGGGTGAGATACTGATTTCAGGTGCAATTTGCAAGACATCTGACACAGATGTCTATGCAAATCACACCAAAAGTAGTGTGCGTACTACTTTAGAAATCGGTGCAGCTCTGACCAAGTCAGTATCGCTCCGATACGACCGGTCTAATTGCAGACCAATTATGGAATGCAATTTGCAGGTCGCATGGAATGCAAATTGCATGGCAGTTCGCATCCAGTGTGACCGGGGACTTATGCAGGCCATAGATGGGTCGAAAATCGGCCGATTTTTCGGCCGAAAATAAAATCGGCCGATTTTCGGATCGTTAGTGGGCTGAATGTTCGGCTGTTTTTCGGTATTTTGGCAAATTTTTTTTATAGGTAAAGTTGGAAAAAAAAAAATCGGCAGATTTTGCCGATCGGCCGATTTTTGCGGCAATGATGGGCAAATCGGCCGATCTTTTACCGATAAAAAAATCTGCGCATGAGCAGTGATCTGCAAGAGGAAGACAAAAAGAAGAAGAAAAAACAAGAAGAGGATGAAGAAGAAGAAGAAGAGGATGAAGAAGAAGAAGAGGATGAAGAAGAAGAAGAGGATGAAGAAGAAGAAGAGATGATGATGAAGAAGAAGAGGATGATGAAGAAGAAGAAGAGGATGATGAAGAAGAAGAAGAGGATGATGAAGAAGAAGAAGAGGATGATGAAGAAGAAGAGGATGATGAAGAAGAAGAGGATGATGAAGAAGAAGCAGAAGAGGATGAAGAAGAAGAAGAAGAAGAAGAGGATGAAGAAGAAGAGGATGAAGAGGAAGAAGAAGAAGAGGATGAAAAAGAAGAAGAAGAGGATGAAGAAGAAGAAGAGGATGATGAAGAAGAAGAAGAAGAGGATGAAGAAGAAGAGGAAGATGAAGAAGAGGAAGTTGAAGAAGAGGAATTCCAGTCCGGCAAAAAGTGTCCCTGCAGAGAGCTCCGCTATTTCTTTGACAGTTCCTTGACAGTTATAGCGGTTGCAACAATGTATCTATTTGCAAAAACATCTATCCTAAATGGATACAAATAGATACAATGTTGCAACCGCTATAACTGTCAAGGAACTGTCAAAGAAATAGCGGAGCTCTCTGCAGGGACACTTTTTGCTGGCTGTAGACGGGATGAAAATCGGCCGATTTTTTTTAAACCGTTTCTGGTAACGTCGGTCGCTTGAACGACCGCTTTTTTTTTTTTTTAAAGAAAAAGAGGCTGGTTTTCTCTCCATCTATGGCCTGCATTAGGAGCAAAGATACATTTTAGACAACAAGAACTCAACTACAGGAGAGTCTAATTATTCATTAAACAGGTGTCCAGCAGACAGGTGATTATAAAAGGGTGTTATTTAGCATGAAATAGGAAGGGGCTTTCTTTGTTGTCAGCAATGGCACCACATGGAAGAGATGTGTGTTCTAGATCATTGTCATGTGTTAGAAAAATGCATGATGACCAAGGGCACGGAGTGATGGTGGCATCTTCTCTTTCAGGGCCGGTTCACACTACATGTGTTTCAGTTGCTTTTTTTCTGCATCCAAAACACACAGAAAGTAGGTTATATGGTTGTCAATGTCATAGTTCACATCATTGCTTGCAGTTCCAGTTGCAGAAAAAAAGTAGAATAGGCTGCATTTTTCCTGCACAGAACTGTACTGGAACGCCTCATCAGTGCAGCCTATCAGTGCCCATCAGCGCTGCCTATCAGTGCAGCCTTGTCAGTGCCCATCAGCGCTGCCCATCAGAGCAGCCTCATCGGTGCCCATCAGTGTGCCTATCAGTGCCCATCAGCGCTGCCTATCAGTGCAACCTCATCAATGCACATCAGTGAAGGAAAAACTTTACCTGTTTGCAAAATTTTATATTAGAAACAAAGAACATTTTTTTTTTTTTTTTTTGCTCTTTTCTTTTGTTTATAGTGCAAAAAATAAAAGAACTCAGTTGCTACTAAATAGCACCAAAAGAAAGCTCTATTTGTGTTAAAAAAAATCATAAAAAATGTCATACTGGTACCGTGTTGCAGGACTGCGCAATTGTCATTCAAAGTGCAACAGCATGAAAGCTGAAAATTGGCCTGGGCAGGAAAGGAATAAAAGTGCCCAGTAGGCTAGTGGTTAACAGGCAGGTTCCTATGTAGGTTCTTCAGTTGTGTATTTAGCTGCATGGCCGGTGTTTCCTTTTCACAGTTTCCTATGTATTCATTTAAATAGTAATGTATTTATATTCATTATTTTTGTTTGCAGTACCCGCAGCTATTTACTGGAATCTTGTCCCCTTGGAAGGGGCTTCTGCTGTATGGGCCTCCAGGTAAATGTATAGGCTGCATTATATTTAAAGATTCAGTGCATTTAGAAATGATTTCTCAGATACAAGGGGTGTCTTAGGCTGAGCCTTCTGATGACTCTTATGTGGACAGCACCTACAATGTGTGAATGTGTGCATAGTGGGCCCCATCCCCTATGGGGCCCATGTGTACTGCACACAATAGGATACACCAGTGATCATCTATCGCTTCCTCTTATAATGGGCACAGCAGATGTGAACACTCTGTGAACTCAGTGCTGGGATCTCTCCAGTAAACTGCTAGGTGGTTCAACTCTCCAGCTTCCACCAATGTAGGTATAACCTGTCCTTCAGAAAACAAATATATAAATACATTTTAGAATTGCTGAAAATGAATAAAAAAAGCACAAAAATGTACAAAACCATCTCAATGCTCTGAAAATCTCCTTTTACAAATAGGAGGGTAGTCTGAAAAGTTCTTGGTCTAACACCGAAAGAGTGACCACACAGACATGAAACTTTATCACTGCACCAAGCCTCTCTTCCAGATGTTCAGGGCTGAAAACGGCGCATGCACGCTATATGGTTTTCATGCTCTCCTGGCAATCAGTTGGCCCCCTCCCGTATTCAAGTTGAAGAGGGAGAAAGTGGAAGAAGAAGGCTCGAAGTGCTCCATCAGCGGGCAAAGTGATGGCGACAGTCTTCTGCACTGCTGCCGCACACCCTCGAAATCCCGGAACACTGTTGCCACTACAGTGTGCATGCGCCGTTTTCAGCGTTGAACATCTGGAGGAGTGGCTTGGTGCAGTGATAAGATTTCATGTCTTTGTGGTCACTCCTTCCATATCAGGCCGTGAACTTTTCAGACTACCCTCGTGTAATAAATTGCATCTATTATAAATGTAAAAAAGAGAAACCTCTCGGGGGATCAGGAAGGAATTTTTTTCCCTGCAGGAGCAAATTGGATCATGCTTTGCTGGGATTTTTGCCTTCCCCTGGGTCAACTGTGGGTGTAGGATTATAACTTTTTTTTTTTTTTTTAATGGTTGAACTTGATGGACTTTTGTCTTTTTCAGCCAGACTAACTATGTAGCTATGTAAGAAGTAACCCCTAGTTTGTTTCTGCACCCCAAGGATACTGTCTGCATGGTGCTTACTGTAATTGTTCTCATGTTTCCATGGATTTTCTTTTGAATGCTCCAAAAAACATTCTGGTATGACAAAAAAAAAATCAACTAGTATATCTCTGCATTACATGCACATTTCTCTGTGTTTGATCCCTTTACAAATGCTGCAGAAACAGAAAAAAAAACTGTTGATCGTCCTGTAGTGATCTGAAACACTGCCTCGGCAGCACTGAAATCCCATGCAGAGTTTTCAACCCTGTCCGGTTTTCCCTGGATGGACTACAGAACACCTTCCCATCTCCTCATATCCATAGTATAAGGAGGGTGTCCTGTGGTCCTCCAAGATCTCAGGCAGGGGATTTCAGGTTAGTGTTCTCATGTACAGTGCTGTGAAAAAGTATTTGCCCCCGTTCCTGTCAATTACTTTGTTTCTCATCTGTTCTTGAATTTCTTTAGATCGCGGTATGATGTGTTGCTTTATGAGATCTTTTAGCGTGCTTCACTTTGTCAGATAGCTTGCTTCTATTTAAAGTGTAGCTCTGGTAAAAATAAAATATAAAAGTAATCAGCTACAAAAATTGTAGATGCTGACTTTTAAAAAACAGCCACTCACCTGTCCTAGGATTCAGTAGCACCTCCCCAAAGGTGCCAATCCTTAACAGGGGGTGTGGGACAAAGCCTTAAACCAGAACTTCGCCGTTTGGGTGGAGCTCGGCTTTAAGTGATTTCTTGATTCAACAGATCTGGCAGTAAGCAGGCCTGAGTGTGGCAAGTGAAATTTAACTCAGCTTTCCAAAAACGTGGTTAATCACAGTTCATCCATGATTCCCTTAATGAGATCATCATTAAAAACTGTATTTTGTATTTACTCGGGTTATCTTTGTGTATTAATAAAATTTGTTTTATTATCTGAAGTGTGATAATTATGCAAAGTTAAGTTTGACAAATATGCAAAAAAAAAAAAAAAAAAATCAGGAAAGGGCAAATCTTTTTGCACAGTAATGTAAATTAGCGGCTTACTAGATTTCTGGCAGATATGTAGGTATTTTCTGTAAATGTAATCTATATATGCAAAAATGGGGAAATGTGTATGTACTGAATGTTTTTTGTATTTTGTCCATATATATATTTGAATTAGCTTCCAACCAGGGTGGCACTACTGCACACATACATACATACAATGAGGAACAGAAGTATTTGAACACCCTGCAATTTTGCAAGTTCTCCCACTTAGAAATCATGGAGGGGTCTGACATTCACATTGTAGGTGCATTCCCACTCTGAGAGACAGAATTAAAAAAAAAAATTCAGGAAATCACATTGTATGATTTGTAAAGAATGTATTTGTCTTGCATGCTGAACAGAAGTATTTGAACACCTGAGAAAATCAGTGTTAATATTTGGTACATGAAAATAGGGTGTGCAGCGCTATACAAAATAAAACACACTATCTAAAGTATGGCAAAATATGACAGAAATGGAAAAGTCCTATAAACTGAATGTTAAACAGTCCAAGGTGGTAAAATATCAGTCCAAAAGGTATACTCCAGTGATGGAGTATAAATAACTTCAATCCAAATGGGTATATTCCAGCATCCTAACATGAAGGTGTAGAAAAATTGCCCACTCACCGGAAGTGCAATTTAATGTGCACATAGAAATTCCATGAAGCCGGAGGTCCCATGAAGGAATAGCTTGATGATAAAGGTGCCCTCTGGTGGTAGATGGGGTGACGGCTGCCAGAGAAGTTGATCTGGACCAATATCCCAAATTGTCCTGCCTGGGTGGACTCCTAGAATGCTGGGCTTGCACTTGTTCCAGGTTTTCGGTCGTATGCCATCATTTAAAATTACTTAACCCGCTCCAGTGCTTTATCTACTTAGTATATACACTTGGAACAAGTAGCGATATCTGTGGAAGCCAAAATCCTTTTGGGAGAATGTGCTGTGGAATGATGATACAAAATTACAGCTTTTTGGTAAAGCTCATCGTTTTATGTTTTAGGGTTGCTTTGCTGCTTCAGGCACTGGATATCCTGACCGTGTTCATAGCATTATGAAATTTGAAATCTGAAGCTGTAATTTTGTATCATCATTCCACAGCGCATTCTCCCAAAAGGATTTTGGCTTCCACAGATATCGCTACTTGTTCCAAGTGTATATACTAAGTAGATAAAGCACTGGAGCGGGTTAAGTAATTTTAAATGATGGCATACGACCGAAAACCTGGAACAAGTGCAAGCCCAGCATTCTAGGAGTCCACCCAGGCAGGACAATTTGGGATATTGGTCCAGATCAACTTCTCTGGCAGCCGTCACCCCATCTACCACCAGAGGGCACCTTTATCATCAAGCTATTCCTTCATGGGACCTCCGGCTTCATGGAATTTCTATGTGCACATTAAATTGCACTTCCGGTGAGTGGGCAATTTTTCTACACCTTCATGTTAGGATGCTGGAATATACCCATTTGGATTGAAGTTATTTATACTCCATCACTGGAGTATACCTTTTGGACTGATATTTTACCACCTTGGACTGTTTTAACATTCAGTTTATAGGACTTTTCCATTTCTGTCATATTTTGCCATACTTTAGATAGTGTGTTTTATTTGTATAGCGCTGCACACCCTATTTTCATGTCATTTTCCTAGAAAGGCTTTGTGGTTCCTTTTTGTGCATCAGCAGCTTCTTATTGGTGCGCTCGCTATCTCACACATTTATACTCAATATTTGGTACAGAAGCCTGTGTTTGCAATTACAGAGGTCAAACGTTTCCTGCAGTTCTTGACCAGGTTTGCACTGCAACAGGGATTTTGGCCCACTCCTCCACACAGATCTCCTCTAGATCTGTCAGGTTTCGGGGCTGTCGCTGAGCAACACGGAGTTTCAGCTCCCTCCAAAGATGTTCTATTGGATTTAGGTCTGGAGACTGGATAGACCACCCCAGAACCTTGATATGCTTCTTACGGAGCCACTCCTTGGTTATCCTGGCTGTGTGCTTCGGGTCGTTGTCATGTTGGAAGACCAAGCCACGACCCATCTTCAATGCTCTGACTGAGGGTAGGAGGTTGTTGCTCAAAATCTCACAATAAATGGCCCCATTCATCCTCTCCTTAATACAGTTCAGTCCTGTCCCCTTCGCAGAAAAGCACCCCCAAAGCATGATGTTACCACCCCCATGCTTCAAAGTAAGGATGGTGTTCTTGGGATGCAACTCATCCTTCTTTTTCCTCCAAACACAACGTGTGAAGTTTAGACCAAAAAGTTCATGACTTTCTCCCATGCCTCCTCTGGATCATCCAGATGGTCATTGGCAAACTTCAGACGGGCCTGGACATGTGATGACTTGAGCAGGGGAACCCTCCATGCAATGCATGATTTGAAACCATGACGGCGTAGTATTCTACCGACAGTGACCTTTGAAACTGTGGTCCCATCTCTCTTTGTGTCATTGACCAGCTCCTCCCTTGTAGTTCTGGGCTGATTCCTCACCTTTCTTATCATCAGTGATACCCTACGAGGTGAGATCTTGCATGGAGCCCCAGTCCGAGGGAGACTGACAGTCGTCTTTAGCCTCTTCCATTTTCTAACAATTGCTCCAACAGTTGATCTATTTTCACCAAGCTGCTTGGCAATTTCCCCGTAGTCCTTTCCAGCCTTGTGGAGATCCACAATTTTGTCACTGATGTTTTTTGACAGCTCTTTGATCTTGCCCATGGTAGTAGTTGGCGTCTGACTGACTGTGGGGTGGACAGGTGTCTTTAAAGAGCTCAGACAGGTGCTACTAAGTTAGATTAATGAGTGGAGTAGAGGTGGACTTTTTAAAGGCACAGTAACAGGTCTTTGAGAGCCAGAATTCTTGCTGTTTCTTAGGTGTTCAAATACTTATGTTCAGCAGTGCAAGACAAATAAATTCTTTAAAAATTATACAATGTGATTTCCTGAATTTTTTTTTTAATTCTGTCTCTCAGAGTGGGAATGTACCTACAATGTGAATTTCAGACCCCTCCATGATTTCTAAGTGGGAGAACTTGCAAAATCGCAGGGTGTTCAAATACTTCTGTTCCTCACTTTATGTATAATAGTGTTAAAGACAACCAGTCAGTAATTTACATTTGTACAAATCTAAAGCTCTATTCTTACGTTGGTATCATATTCACACATGTGCGGATTGAAGCTCAGGTTTCACAGCTAATTGATACAGTAGTTGCTCAGCGGTTCATGTCAGGTTTACATCAGGTTCAGGACAGGATTAGGTCAGGATTTTATCCTGTTCAGACATATGTGGTTTAGAAGCAGCAATATCAGCTCAATGTCAGATTACAAGGCTTCCATGGAGGCTTGTCTTTTGCTTGAGTTTAGGATTGATATCTGATGTCCTGGCTGTTGGAGGAGAGTAAAACCGCCAGCTAAAAAACACTTTTTTTTTTCATGTAAACTTGAAAATAATTTTAATATATTGAAGTTTTTAATTGTCTGCCATCAACCCTGGGCTCAGGCTTGACATTTTGCTTCTGACAGGGAGAGAATAGACTGCACTGTTATAACTTTTCATTATAATAGTGTAGTAGAATAGTAATAGGGTAAAATAGAGTAGTAGATCCACATTATCCACCTTATTACAACTGCCTGCTGGTGTCTGGCTCTTGTTAAGGATGTTGGTGTGTTATTTTTTTTCAAAGGTAGAGACTGATGTCAGCGATTGTTTTCTAGGTACTGGGAAGACGTTGCTTGCCAAAGCGGTGGCCACAGAATGCAAACACAACATTTTTTAACATTTCGGCCTCCACCATCGTCAGCAAGTGGAGGGGAGACTCGGAGAAGCTTGTACGGGTAAGAACCAGCTCAGTCTGAAGAGTTTGGTACACTTAAGCCAGCCATAGACGGGTCGAATCTCAGTCAGTTCAGCAGGGACCCGGCCGAGATTCGAACAATGTATGGACAGGCTGAATGTACCCAAGTTGATTGATCAATCAACTTGGGTACAACCAGCCTGTCGAATTTTACATGCGATTATTGCTAGTGGCTAATACTGTATAGCCGCTAGCAGTAAATATTGGTTCTCCCAGTAAGGATGGCTCCCCCCATCAGGAGAACATGATGGCTCCGCGAGAAGGGATTCCCTCATCAACACTAGCTATGTTGATGGGGGAAGCAAGTGATTTTCTTTCCTGTAACCAAAATCGCTTTATAGCTGAATTCGCTCAATTGACCACCATCGTGTTGTCTCCCTTTTCTTGGCAGACCAGTTTACAGCTTTTTTCCATACAGAAATTTAAACCATTTCTAAAGCCAAACGCACCAGGATACACTTGAGTAACGTAAAATGTACAGCCTCTAGGGAAAGGGGGGACATGACCGAAACCTTTAAATACATGAGGTTTAAGTAAGGTTCAGGGGGGCGGTATTTTCAATATAAAGCCAAGATCAAGACCCTGGGGATGTGACCTCAGGCTTTCAGGAGGAACGTTCAAAACTAACCTTAGATAGTATTGTTTCACAGGATGAGTAGTGAACGCTTGGAATAGACTTCCAGTATAGGAGGTGAATAACTAAGGGAATTTATAGGTTTAAAAAAATACAGACTTGATGGACTACTTGATCTTTGTTCTGCTGTCACACTATGGGGGGTTATTTACTAAAACTGGAGAGTACAGCTTTGGGTTTCCTTAATAGGGCGGTGTGGGGGCTATATTAATGCTGGTTACACAATGGGGTTGGTTTGCTAAAACTGGAGAGTGCAAAATCTGGTGCAGGTCTGCATAGAAACCAATCAGCTTCCAGGTTTTATTGTCAAAGCTTAATAAAACAAACTGAAGTTAAAAGATGATTGGCTCCAATGCACAGCTACACCAGATTCTCAGTGCTCCTGTTTTAGTATATCTCTCCATGTGTATATATGGGTTTTTTTGGAACCATAAAACCTCATGCCATCCCCCTTTTTTTTTTTTTTTTTTTTTTACTTTTTGCTGACCATGTCCCATAGGGAAGATTTCCCTTAAAGTGGAAGAAAAGCCTTACTTTAACTATTCTTAAAAACATTCCATTACAATGGTCACCAGAGCAGACAGAAAAGAGTGTGAACCTCCCCAGCAGGGATGCAGACCGCAATAAAATCCTAATGGGGGTTCTGATCCCCCCCTACTCTATCCTAAACAAAAAGGTTTGGACTTAGATACACATAAACCAAGAAAGTACTTGTAGGAAGTAGTGATTGCAACTGGTTTTAGCGCAGTGGTAATAACAGAGTGTTATTTATGTTCTGAAAGGGTATATGACCTCTTTCCACTCGCTTCTAGTACTCATTAAAAATAAATTGGCTTAAAAGAGACTGTCAATCACGATATGCTTTAGGATCCATGCACACTGGGCTCCTTTTACTGTAAACGCTCCTTTTACAGGAATGTGACATTTTACCCGTAGAAGCAGCTCAATGTTATTCTATAGTATCAGATGTGGTAAGCAGTTCAATTATGAAAAAACTTCCAACAACGCTGGTGTAATCCAATCCAATATCGAGGAGTAGGTAGATTGCCCACTTACCAGAAGCGCAATCTCAATGCGCATGTGCAGGTCACATGTAGCCGAGGTCTCATGTAGGCGCTGCTTGGTAGTACCCTGGTGGTCCCTCAATGGTAAGGGGATATTGGTCTGGTCAGATCACACTGCTCCTTAGATCCACGCAGAAGCCTAAAAATGCTGGGGCTGAGGTATGGGGGCTCAGTGCCAGGTATAAGAAGTAAAGGTGCTCATAGTGTAGTAATTTTAAATGGCATCACCCCTACTGTAGACGTATATTGACACGAAATGCGTCTAGGAGGAGCCTTCGCACGCCTTGACGTCACGCCGCCGGATCAGGAGGTCCGGCGGCCAACCCTTGATTTTCACTGGTCAGTGTTTTAGATGTTCTTTACAGCCTCTTTAACTGGCTACAGGCTGCAGGCATGTGCTTTGTAATTTTTAGGTTTTTTACACATTGGATTTAATAAATTTTTTATTTAAAATTACTACACTATGAGCACCTTTACTTCTTATACCTGGCACTGAGCCCCCATACCTCAGCCCCAGCATTTTTAGGCTTCTGTGTGGATCCAAGGAGCAGTGTGATCTGACCAGACCAATATCCCCTTACCATTGAGGGACCACCAGGTACTACCAAGCAGCGCCTACATGAGACCTCGGCTACATGTGACCTGCACATGCGCATTGAGATTGCGCTTCTGGTAAGTGGGCAATCTACCTACTCCTCGATATTGGATTGGATTACACCAGCGTTGTTGGAAGTTTTTTTCATAATTGAACTGCTTACCACATCTGATACTATTGCATTGGACAATTACCTTTTTTCGCGAGTCATTTTAACATAACTACCATAAGGATATTGTTTGTAGCGCTGCACTTTTATTTTGTCAATTTCAGTTGGAAAAGTTTTGTGGTTCCTTTTAGTGCATTTGCCGCTCACTGGAGTGCGCTCACTAACCTACCTATACACAATGTTATTCTATGTATCCATGCACATTAAGACGTTTGGAGGTATATTTTAGACTTAACATTTAGAGGCAGAAAAAAAAAAAACTTTCTGTTTTGCATTTTTGAGAGCATTTTTCTGGCAGAAAAAAATGCTAAACACTCCTAAACACATGTACAAAACACTCTGTATGAGCATTTTTTTATGCCAAAAGAACTGGTTTTCTTAAGCCCAGCATGCATGGACCCTTAGCCTAGGTTCACATTACAGCGGTAAATCCCATGTGATTCTCACAGGAAGCGCACCGCATTCCTGTACAAATCATATGCGATTTGTGTGCGATGCGATTAGAGCCATACATTTTGTATGCCTCTATTCGCACCGCATCCGCACCAAAAAACGTGCAGGACCCTTTTTTGATCCGCACTAGAATCGGATTGTGTAGATATTCACACTTAAGCGATCCGATTCTGCACATTGCACTGCATTTTGCGGACCGATGTCGGGGTGCTGTTAACATACACACCCGCATCGGTTCGCATGAACGGGGTGCGATTGTGATGCGGTGCGGAATTTGCACTGAAAACAAATTCCGCACCGCATCAGTGTGAACCAGGGCTTATAGTGGACATGAGTGGAAGATGTTGTTTTGAATCTCTGGGGAGCATATTTTGCTAAGATTAGAATTCCAAATAAAAAATGAAGTATATTTAGATTCACCCGCAGGGTGCTAGAGCTCTCCAATCAAAAAAGCTAATTTTCCCTGCTGATTGCAGAGCTCTAGTTATGATTATGGCTGGCCATACATTACACAAATTTCTTGAGATTTTTGCTTTAGATTTACCAAAAACCATATAATATGAGGTCAAACCTAAATAACACTTTCAATTGTATCCAATTAGACAGGCCCTTGGACTACATAGTTGAAGGTACATCTAAAGGAAATTGGGCTGAAATTGGACAGAAAATTGTATAGTGTATGGCCAGCCTTAGCCAGGGTATGCTGGACTACTGCAATTAAATGCTGGGGAAGCTGAATTTAGGCTGCAGCTCTAGTAAACAAGTACAATAACAACCGAGACATTCTGACTGGCTTCCCACCTATACATTGCAGTAATGCATGCAATAACAAATCTCACATGCATTGGTGCATGAGGGTGCTAATAATTTAGAATGGCATCCTAATTCACCTACACAATGTACCTGTGTTTTGGTGTACAATGTACCTGTGTTTTTGGTGTACAATGTGGATAGCGTATGTACTCTCCAGCGCCTCAAGATATGCACAGCCAAAAGGGAAGCCAAGGGTACCAGGACAGCGACAACCAAAAGGAAATGTTCCAGGGGTGCAGCCCTCCTCAGACGGGGAAATCAGCCACTAGATAGAGAGAAAAACAGGTGGCGCACACACCTTGTGCATTATCCAAGGTTTATTGTAGGAATTAAATCATAAAAAAACATACTCACAGACGAAGCATGTGTCTAACAGCAGGGCTCTCACTTTACTTTCCATTCATCGTGCATCAGCATCAGAGGTTGGTCATCAGCTCTGAGGAAAGGGATTCGTCCCCGAAACGCGTCAGCAATTTGACCGCACTGACAGTGAGAACACCTTGCCTGCCGTTGTGGCCATTGTCATTTTTCTATGCTTTTTAGACACAAGCTTCGTCTGTGAGTATGTTTTTATGATTTAATTCCTACAATAAACCTTGGATAATGCACTAGGTGTGTGCGCCACCTGTTTTTCTCTCTATTTGGTGTACAATGTACCTGTGTTTTAGCGTACACAATGTACCTGTGTTTTAGCGTACACAATGTACCTGTGTTTTGGCGTACAATGTACCTGTGTTTTGGCGTACACAATGTACCTGTGTTTTGGCGTACACGACGTACCTGTGTTTTGGCGTACACAATGTACCTGTGTTTTGGCGTACACAACGTACCTGTGTTTTGGCGTACACAATGTACCTGTGTTTTGGCGTACAATGTACCTGTGTTTTGGCGTACAATGTACCTGTGTTTTGGCGTACAATGTACCTGTGTTTTGGCGTACACAACGTACCTGTGTTTTGGCGTACACAACGTACCTGTGTTTTGGCGTACAAGGTACCTGTGTTTTGGCGTACAATGTACCTGTGTTTTGGCGTACACAACATACCTGTGTGGTAAGCTGTCTTGCAAAAAAAAAAAGGTTCAGGTGCATTTTTTTTGTCTTTTTTTTTTTACATTGGTAGCCCATTCAAATGAGCGAGTTGCCCTAAAGTGGTCTATGTTCTTGTGCTACATACATGCAATGACACAAGTATGTTAGTGCAACACACCAGAGCGGACAGGTGTAAAGTGCAATATATATCTTCCTACCTTACCTAAATTTTCCTTAAACTGTGCTTTAAATCCAGCAGTCAGCATGTATGTTTATATCACGGTTGTTCTAGTCGTTTTGTTTGGGGGAGCCATAAGTCATATACCACAATGTTGCATCTGTGTTTCCACATTTACAGTGTAATTCCAGGCTAGAACTAACTGTCCCCACCCCCCTTCCAACACCTATACTAATTTCCCTATAGAAGGAAGCTGTATATAACTACGTCTTCTCGGGGCGCTCTGGTATGGTCATGTGATCGACTCCCAGTGGCCGGCTTCAGGGTAGAGGAGGGATAGCCATCAATGGATGCCCCATAGTGAGCCTATGAGTGATATGACTGCACAGGCATTCCATCGGTTGTCAGCACTCTCTCCTCTCCCCTGAAATTGGCTGCTGGGGAGATCATGTAACCAGACCGCAGTACTCTGAGTACAGCCTTGAATTCCATTTTAGAGGTTCATTTTTCACTTTTAAACCTAAAGTTTTTTTCTCACACAGGTTTTATTTGAACTGGCTCGCTTCCATGCCCCCTCCACCATTTTCCTGGATGAGCTGGAGTCTGTGATGAGTCAGAGGGGGACAGGGCCAGGGTGAGTAGATTTCTAATAGAATAGAAAATTAGTAGTCATTTTTTTTTTTTTTGCAAACATCAGTCTGGCACCTCTTTGCTGTTCCCTTTCCAGACATACATCCTACCAGAAACTATTCTCTGTCCATCAACTTCGCAGTCTCATTATTTGGATTTTTGCATGTCTTTTCTGGAGTAAAGAGCTCCCTGCTCACAGTTTTTTAAAAAATTTTTCTTGCAGAAAAACTGATGGAAACTGACTTCCAGATGTCATTTGCAGAGACATCAGTTTACATCAGTTTTCATGCGCGCTTCAATGAGTGTTAAACACATTACAGATTCCTGCAGATTGTTGTGGTGTGAACAGGACACATAGAGAACAATTGATTTCATTGCGCCCTTGCTGAACGCATGCAGAAAAACTGACGACTTTTGCACCATGTGGTGAATGAGCTCTGATTGTTGGGTTAGTTTCACTTTAAAGCCTAATGTAGGCCATAGACGGGTCGAAAACCGTCCGTTTTTTTAAAAAAAAATGAAAAATCGGTCGTTCAATAGGCCGATGTTACCACCAATGGTAAAAGAAATCGGCCGATTTTCGTCCCGTCTACGGCCGGCATTTAATTCTGTCCCTTGCAGAGACCCCCGCTGTTATATTTGACATGAAAAAGTATTGCTGTTGCAACAATGTATCCATTTGTATCCATTTCGGATACAGATGTTTTTATTTGGATACAAATAGATACATTGTTGCAACCGCAAGACTTTTCATATAAAATATAAAAGCGACTAGAATCATCCTCCTCCTCCTTCCTCCTCCTCCTCCTCCTCCTTCTTCCTCCCCCTCCTCCTTCTTCCTCCCTCCTCCTCCTTCTTTCCTCCTCCTCCTCCTCCTTCTTCTCTCTCTCCTCCTCCTCCTTCTTCCTCCTTCTTCCTCCTTCTTCCTCCTTCTTCCTCCTTCTTCTCCTCCTCTCCCTCCCTTCTTCCTCCTCTTTCTCCTTCTTCCTCCCCCCTCCCTCCTTCCTCCCCCCTCTTCCTCCTCCTTCCTCCTCTTCTTCCTCCTCCTTCCTCCTCCCTCTTCTTCTTCTTCCTCCTCCTTCTTCTTCCTCCTTCTTCCTTTTCCTCCTCTTCTTCTACTTCCTCCTCTTCTTCTACTTCCTCCTCTTCTTCTACTTCCTCTCCCCTCCTCCTCCTTCCTCCTCCCCTCCTCTTACTCCTCCTCTTCCTCCTCCTCCCAATTTGCCCATCATTGCTGGGATAATTGGACGATTTTTTCCAACTTTACCGATGAAAAAAATGTGCCAAAATCTCGAAAAACGACCTACCAATTAACCCATTAACAGTGCGAAAATCGGCTGATTTTTATTTTCGGCCGAAAAAGCGTCCGATTTTCGACCCATCTATGGCCTGCATAACTCTACGTTTAATGTTCCTTTAATCAGATTAATTGGACTAATAACTCGATTAACTATTTAAGGCACTACCAGGTGCACATGCCGGACACTCTGTATTATCTGTATGTAGCCTTAGCTACATACAGTTTACAGCACTGTGTTCCAGCAGTGGGACAAGAACATCAGCCTACCTCTCCGCCTCATCTAATTAGAGGGAAACGTTATATTCATTCATAGAATACAAAGCATACAAATACATAGAATGAATGGCTGAGCAGTGCTCAGCCCAACTCGATTTTTTTTCCAGGAGTAGAAGAGGGAGTTCTCATCTCACAAGCAGAACACAGCGCTGTATACTGCATGTAGCTGAGGCTGCATACAGTTTATAAAGCGTGCCCAGGAAGCGCACCTGTTAGTGCAGCAAATAGATTGTTTGGGCTAGCTTGGCCCAAATGCACTATTTAAAGGGACATTAAACGTAGAGTTAGGCTGTAAGTTAGGCTGAGGTCAGACCTCCTGATCTGGATATTGGTTCTAATTCAGCAACAAAAAAATATTCAACCTAATAGATTACCATTGCAAATCAGGCAACTAGTATTTTCAGGAACAGAGGTTGGCAGCGGCAGTCTGCAAATTTTATGTCTACACAGGTTTCCTGTAGCAAGACGTCGGGCATGTCATTTACCAAGTACCCCTAAAAACATGTAAAAAAATGATTTAGCTATGCAAATAAGTCATAGAATTTATTGAAGCATTAACCAACACATGCTGTTTAGCCTTGGCATCAATGACCTCTGATTACAAGTTTTGTCTGGGCTGCGGCTGGGCAAGATTGCATGGTCAGGCAAATACTCTTAGTGGCCTTTAACCAGTTGTGAACATTGGGCATGCTGCACATGCATATAGTATGGCCAACCCCTACTTTCTCATAGTTCTTCAACCCCATTTACCAGCAATGATATTTCCATAGGAGCAGATCTAAGGCTAGGTTCACACTTGTGCCAAGCACGTTCTGCGGGTGCGGCAGCCCATCCGCAGAAACACGGGGAAAGAAGTCCCAGACCCTCTTTTTTAAAAAAAAAAACCTGCGGCACCATGAGGTTTTTCGAGTGTGCAAAAACATTGGCGTTTTGCCAATCCGTGGGGTGGGGGGGCATTAAGGATCAGTGACACCCCCTGCGTCTGCTAAAGAGCAGCGTGTTTTGCCTGGGGGTCGGGAAAGCACGCAATTTTGCGAACGATCCCAACCTGAACAAGTGTGAACCTAGCTTTATTGCTCATGTGTGGGCCAACACTCAGAAACACATTTGTAGTGTCAGGAAAAGCTGCAATAAAGCAAAGTTATTAAAACTTCTCTGGTTCATTCATAGCAGATCAAAGTTGTGCCCTTTGATTGGCATTCAATGTCAGTTAAAGCAACCATGCAAGTTAAAAAAACCTGCAAATCTGTATAACACTTTAGTTAATCCTAATCAGTCCCAATCAACCCAGATTCATTCCTTCAGCAGAAATTGTAGAAAAAAGTTCACTTTTTATTAACAGGAGCGCCTATTGGTTTTACAATTAGTGGCGGTTTGCCGGTACTTTCATAAACACTTGCATCGCACATGTGTATGAACATATGACCTGGAAGGCAGACTGTGTCCAGGAGTATATGTCTGTACACATCTGCATGTCTATGTAAGTACTGCACATACCCGCATATAGTCATTCATTTCTTTGGGCCTAGCAGCACTAAGGTCGTTAATTTGAATCCCAACCACGACACTACCTGCCTGAAGTTTGCATGTTCTCCCTGTGTCTGCGTGGGTTTCTTCCTGGTACTCCGGTTTCCTCCCACACTTCAAAGACATGCTGGCAGGTTAACTGTCTCTTTTCTCTATTGGCACTAGTATGTATAGTACCTTAGATTGTGAGCTCCTTGAGAGCAGGGACGGCTGTGTACTATATATACAGTTGTGTTCAAAATAATAGCAGTCAGACATCACTAACCGGATCAATCACTGTTTTTGGTAGAAATGATATTTCTACATGGCAAATAATTTACTAGCAGGTGTAGTAGAGTAATAGAAATCCAACAGACCCAACAGTCATGACATGCATGCTGCTGATTCTGTGTCATTGAATCACTCATTGAAAGGGGCATGTTCAAAATAATAGCAGTGTGGAGTTCTATTAGTGAGGTCATTCATTCTTTGAAAAACAGGTGGCAATTATTGCCCTTATTTAAGGAAGGAAGGCAGCAAATGTTGTACATGCTGGTTACAGTGCATTTCTCTCTGAAATTCTGAGGAAAATGGGTCGTTCCAGACATTGTTCAGAAGAACAGCGTACCTTGATTAAAAAGTTGATTGGAGAGTGGAAAACATATAAAGAAGTGCAGAGAATTATAGGCTGCTCAGCTAAAATGATCGCAAATGCTTTAAAATGGCAACCAAAACCTGAAAGACATGGAAGAAAGCGAAAAACTACCATTCAAATGGATAGAAGAATAGCCAAAATGGCGAGGACTCAGCCAACAATCAGCTCCAGGAAGATGAAAGAAGGTGTGATGTTCCCTGTGAGGACTGTTACAATTAGAAGACGCCTATGTGAAGCCAAGCTATCTGCAAGAAGCCCCCGCAAAGTCCCACTGTTGGAAAAAAGAGGTGCTGAAGAGGTTACAATTTGCCAAAGAGCACATTGACTGGCCTAAAGAGAAATGGCGCAACATTTTGTGGACTGATGAAAGTAAGATTGTTCTTTTTGGGTCTAGTGGCCGGAGACAGTTTGTCAGATGACCCCCAAACACTGAATTCAGGCCACAGTACACTGTGAAGACAGTGAAGCATGGTGGTGCAAGCATCATGATATGGGGATGTTTCTCATACTACGGTGTTGGGCCTATTTATCGCATACCAGGGATCATGGATCAGTTTGAATACATCAGAATACTTGAAGAGGTCATGCTGCCTTATGCTGAAGAGGAAATGCCCTTGAAATGGGTGTTCCAACAAGACAACGACCCCAAACACACCAGTAAACGTGTAACATCTTGGTTCCAGACCAACAAGATGGACGTTATGGAGTGGCCAGCCCAATCCCCGGATCTTAATCCAATAGAAAACTTGTGGGGTGACATCAAAAATGCCGTTTCTGAGGCAAAACCAAGAAATAGAGAAGAACTGTGGAATTATTATTATTATTATTATTCAGTATTTATAAAGCGCCAATAGTTCGCTCAGCGCTGTACATTACAAAGGGGGACAGAACATGTGACAGAACAATACCAATACAATGCAAAACATGAGGGGATCGAGGGCCCTGCTCTTTCAAGCTTACAATCTAGGAGGGAGGGGATGGTGGCACAGGAGGAGATAGCTGTGGGGGATGGAGTGGTAGGAAGAGTGGAGGAGGTCGGCAAGTTAGCAGGGGGCGGGGTAGGCTTCCCTGAAGAGATGGGTTTTCAGGGTGCGCCTAAAGGAGAGGAGAGTAGGTGATAATCTGATGGGTTGGGGCAGGGAGTTCCAGAGGATGGGTGACACCCTGGAGAAGTCCTGGAGGCGGGCATGGGAGGAGGAGACCAGGGAACTAGAGAGAAGGAGGTCTTGTGAGGAGCGGAGTGTGCGTGCTGGGCGGTACTTGGATA